CATGATTATCTAGCTTAAGACAAAGTAGGAATACTAAGTAATAATCAGTTATCGTGTGTGTGTGTGTGTGTGTGTGTGTGTGTGTGAGAGCTGTGAGCTGTGTTCTCTCACTCCACTCCACCATCTCCTGCATGAGTCAGACACATAGAGCACATTGCGTGACAGCAAAACTCACCCACTTGTACAGCTGCCCCCACAGACTCACACAAGCACACTCACACACACACAAGTACATGTTTGATTTTCAGCATTGCAGCTTGCATTTAATATGGGTATTTGGGCCTTTTTATAGAAAGCACAAAGTAAGTAGCGTCAGAGTCTGCGTGCAGACGCACTGGCTTCTTGGTCTTAATAATGAAAAACCTAAAACAATTACTAGGACCTAAAATGTGTTTAAATAGTCAGCATTTTCAAAATAAAGCATAATAATCTTTTGCAGATGTGAACCACAGGGCGTAAAAGTATTTCGCCTAAAATGTTGATTATTCCTATAAGTAATTGTCCAGTGGAATCAGCCACCAGAGCTCCTCTGAGCTCGTGGAAAATCTGTGACTGCTGCTGCCCCCCCGGGGATTGTTTCTCTGAGGTGTTGCACAGTACGGCTGTAATATGAGGCTGGACGTGCCACCACAGGTTACAGCGTGGTGCACATACACGGTGCACTTGCGCTGGGAGAGACACGGTGTCAGAAGTTGCTCAATTTCACTTTCCAGTCCATTACCTTTCAGATGGGGTTCACTGAAGGGGAAGAAATGTGTGACCTTGTGACTTCTCGAGAAATGACGGAATGTGTTTGTTTACATACAGTACAACATATCTGCCGCCTGTTTTCCTGCACTGAGGACGAGTCAGGTTGATTCATTCTCGCGCACAGAGAGACGTTCCCCTGGCGTGGACACTCGTACTGATGGAGTGTGGAGAATACAGAGAATAAGATCTCAAAACCACATTGTCAGCTGAGCAAAGACACGATTCATTAAACCAACGACAACACCAAATATGAAAAGACACCATTTTACTGGGTTATAAATGCTGCGCTAACATCAATCCAAGTTTTTTCCCCTCCTGAAGTGGCCTGCACTGATAATGATGCTGTATTATCTGAGATTCAAAATGACAGGCACAAGCCTTTGTAGCATGGTTTTACGCTCTATTTCTGCTTTTTATGCAAATGTTACGTTACTGTTTGAACATTTTTACACTCCTAGTTCTTCTAACTCCCTCCTCTTATTGACTTACACACAACATGCTGCGTAATGTTTAATGTCATCCTTACTGTTACTGCATGGTAACAAACTTTTCGGTATGGCGTAAAATGGCATCGTTCTTCTGGAGGTCATTTTCAAGGACGTTATGACACATCTCTCCATCTTCTAATAAGAGGATGATAATTATCCACCTTTCAGCCGCTGATGGGTTATTATTCATAGAGTTACTCTACACACAGCCTACTCTTATTCACTCTTTTCCTCGCTCTCTTTCTCACTCTCTTGTCCTCTCTGAGTCACACTTCAACCATTCTCTTCCCTCTTCATTCCCCCTCTCTCTCATAAAATGGTGAAAGCTGAGAATACGTGTTGAAGCCATCTATTCGCTGCAGAAAAATTGCACCATGTTTTGCGTCATTTCGAAGATGGGCATCATCATGTCGGTAGATCCTTACAGTATGTTAAACCTTGTTCACACTATTCCTCTCAAGATGTATTTCTTCTATATAAATTTCATTGATTTGCTGCTCCATTGTGCGTTCAACTGTTACAAGGACATTTGGAGGTCATCACTTTTCTTTGAAGAAACGTACAGCACTCACCTGTGCTGTGTACCATGTCACACCATGTGCACTATGCATGCTCTTTTTTGGACACACACACACACACTCACTCACATATTAACAATATCTCCAAGGACAGAGTCGTGGGTATTTCTACTCGTCGAGTGGGATGCATAGTGTTTCCATGGAGATCTATTTTCAGCCATGGCCAAATGAAAGGGCCAACTGTTAAAATATGCCATCATGTTCGCTCTGACTGAAAAGAAAAATCCCATTTCCTCCGCAGATTTAATGGTAAAAAGAAATGTATTACATTTGTTCATGTTCCTCTCTTTTTTTTAATTTACAAACAGGATTTTAGGAAGGTATCATTTGTCAGATTTTAGATTTTAATATCCAATCGTGATTTCTTTGACAGACCAGCGCACTGCCAGCCAAAGAGTCCTAAGATGAAGCTCAAGTCTAATTGTAGTATTTTAAATCTTATAGTATCTTAGTATAATTTCGTTAGTGTTGTCCACATGCAAAACTTCATGGTCAGGTTTATAAAAGGAGTGGAGAGGCTAATAAGTCACCAGCGACTTTCCTTGGCCCCGAACGCAGACCTCCAATGAACCATTATTTATGGCATTTCATGATTGATAGCGTAATCACAAGTTTTCTTGTTGGCATTGAAGTTTCTAAATGCTTAATTAGCTGGTATTCAATGCAAAGCGGCTGATACTAAAGGATTTTATGACACCCAACCACATCTATTAATGAGATCATACTGCAGTCTGTATTTCTAGTACAGTTAATGGCTTTTAGCTGGCGAGTCTCCAGCACACATTCAGTCTGCTTTAAGTCCGTAAGCTGCTGATTTAAAATGGTCAATCTAACATTAGCGGCGCATCATCATTTTTCAAAGTTGGGGTTATATTTCCATTTAACGTTTGGATCTCGATCTGAACAATCACAAGAAGCTCTGGTAAATAAGTTAGCCGGCCATTATACAGCACGAGGAGTTCCATCTTACTCCCATCTGTACATTTGGTACATAGTCTGTTCAGGCTTCACTACTTGGTGATGGACTCAAGCACAAAGACTCCTTTGCAAGCACCCTTAATCCTCTGTGCGATTGTTGTGACTCATCTGTGTATCGCTGTAGTTTTTCAGCCCTCTCACTGCCTCCTCAAAATCAACTGCCAGAGCAGTGGGCTGACAGCATTTAGCCTACTATATTTCATAATCTGGCACATGAATCTTAAGCAGCATTGCGGCTATCGAGGAATAAATTATATAAAGGCGGGCGGGTTTTCCAGGAAGCAAAAATTAATTACATTTCTTAAAGGAGTTGCAACATATAACAAGGTTGAATGTCATGTTTAACCGATGAATTATCTGATAAATAGCATAAATAGAGATTCCCATCACATGGCAGACATAAGTGAGAGTCTGCAGCTGTTGTATTTTATCGTTAAATGATTGTTGCCCTAACATTCACATTCTAGACATCATCTTTATTTTGTTAAATCAGTGATACAAATGAAGGTGAATGTTATGTTTGATTTAAACCAGACCTGCAAAGATTCTACACACAGCGTATAGTAAATATATGTGCTTAGGCTTGCACATTTGTGTGTCTGTGTATCTGACCAACTGGAACTGGCTAAAGCCTGATTATACACGAGCTCTGGTTTTACTGTGTGTGAGAGTGCCGGTATGCAAAGCCAGCCTTCTTACTAAACCCAAATCACGTGAAGGCAGTCACGACTCACAGCGCCGCACACACACGCACACACACACACACACACACACACACACACACACACACACACACACACACGCATGGTGCATGGACACACATGTTTGTGTGTGATGTGAGGCAGGACGCTGTGGAGATCAATGGGAGAGCACGCTAGGTCCTCTCAGAGAGACAATTAAAAGAGAATGGGTAATGAGGCTATTTATAGACTGATCTATTTGTAACCAGGGCATTCTCCTATGTAGGAGCTGGGAATTGTTCTCCTTTCAGTCTGCCCTCCTCCTGTCCTCTATTTCTCCTTCTCTGTTGCTCCATCTCTTTATTCAAGGAGCAAAATACATTATCTTTCTCTATTTTCTGTCTTTTTTTTTCTTGCTGTATCTACAGATTTGTCTGTCGCACAAATATTCCGTTGTTCTGTGTCTCGTTGTTCCTCTGTCTACGACATCGGAGGCAAATTAATCACCATTTATTCACCGCTGTGGTTAATAAGTCGTTTTTATTCACATGTGAAACGCTGTCATGCAGCAGAGATGTTATCAGGTGCAATCCAGGGCCACTCCTGGGAGACCCAGTGACGCACCATGCATGACATAATGCTGCGATAATGTCTGGGGAGGGAGACACAGAAACAGAGCAACAGTAAATACACACTGCGTCCGCTCAGCAAGCAGATAACGGAACACCGATAATAACACTGAAAACAGCCAGACAGAAAACTGAGTAGCTCAATAGAAGTATTTTATGGATCATTTTAAGCATCCTTTTCAGGTTTGTAGACTTAATGCTAATTACAAAGCGTTGTGAAGGTTTGATCCAGGTATAAACCTACTCATTTATGTCAATGGTATTTAAAATATATCAAGTTCAAACATTGGTCTTGCCACTACTATCTTATGTAACAAACTCTGCCTGAGAATGATTTTCCAAACAGCAAAAGTAAATTGTTCCTCGAGCATGTATGAAGTTTTACGGATAAAAGAGCCAAAGACATTTACATGCAGTAGTTCTTGATATATGCCTGTTATGGCCTGTTATGACTCCGACTGATGATTAGTGGGCCGGTTTGTGTGCACTGTGCGAGGGAATAATAGAGAAAAAAGAAAGTCAAGTAAGAGAAAGAAAGGAAATAACAATCCATTACAAAGCCGACTGGAAATCAAGATAATAAACACCTAAAACTGTAGAAGGAAATTGCATTCGTTGTTTTCAGCTGTGCATTTGGAATTTTGTCTGTGTCGATAAAATTGATTGATTTTTTATATACAATTTTAGAAATAAAGCAGATGGTTGTTTGTTCCTGTAATTGTAACTATATAAACAACATACAACTCCAGTGCAAAACTTCAGCATGAACATCCATCACAGGCTCACGATAATTATACCGTGGCGTATTGTATTCTCTAACTATACTACTATCTAACTGTTTCTCTTTTTCTCTCCTTCTCTTATTATTATTTTTTTCTCTGTATCGCACACGCTCAGGTCTCTCGGGTGACCAAAATGACCTGGACAAGAGAAAAGAAATATTTGGTAAAAACCTGATACCTCCAAAGAAGCCAAAAACCTTCCTGCAGCTGGTATGGGAGGCGCTGCAGGATGTCACCCTCATCATCCTGGAGCTCGCCGCCCTGATCTCCCTGGGACTCTCCTTCTACCACCCTCCCGGAGAGAGCAATGGAGAATGTGAGTCAAGCGGCTCTTGTGAAATCACATCCTTAAAACATTCTCTCCTATCGTTTGTTTCAAAGTGTTGAGGCAGACACACAGGCAAAAAAACACACACTCACTACAACAATTATCTCACGAGTACCTCCACTATTGCAGACCACAGCAAAGTGCTTTAATCTCATTGGCACACCGACATCACTTCCACTTGCATTACTGGAACTTGCTGACACACTTACACCTGCACGCACACACTTTTTAATTTGGTAAGGCATGTCACTTTGTTTTTAACCCCCAAGAGCTTAGGCAACTTATCGAGCACAAGGGTAATTTAATTGTGTGCGCGTGTGCGACCGCTACAGCCGTGTTAAATACGCGTATAAAGGGTGCAGGTAAGGTTAATGAAGTGTTGAGCAGGGGAATAACCTTAAGCCCAGAGTGCCCATGCATCAGCCCTGTGAGCTGTGGGACAGGAAACGAAGACAGAGACCATAACGAGGTGCTGAGTCAGCGGCATCAGTCGTGGCTCCCAGCATTATCACGGTAATGGGATTCAGTTACTCTGCTAAAGGGACCAGTCATCACTTTAAGTGGTTTTAAAAGTCCTGTGACAGTAGAGAAAAAGAAAAGTCACCGCCGTCTTTTCATTTTATGATTTCATTAATTCTTTAGCTGGATGGTTAAAGTTAAGGGAGAGTTAATGAGTCATTAAGGATTTAGTCAGTCATCGTTTTACAACCAAGGTTGTGAAATATTACTTCATACTTGCATCTTTTTTTGCTTCGCGTCACACCGATATCATTATGTTTTTGCAGGTGTTCTATATTGCTTAACTTTAAACTGCAAGCAACAATAATGAACAAAATGAAAACTTAATTCTGACAAAAAATATAATTCTAAAACCCATAAAAGTGAATCCTATACAACAGTTATGTGGTGACATTTCTATACTGTGAAAAGCAAATATCAGACGCATGTATTTATTCACTGGGTGTTAATTGAGTAGGTATCAAACACGTGACATAGAACAAAACATGTAAAATACGGTATCGATAGACGATAAACCCACATGTTTTATTAAAGATCCATCTCACCCACCACTTGTAAAAGTTTCCCATTGAGCTCCATTTGTCCTTGTATGTTATACTTGGGTATTGCACAATATTGGTCGTTGGTCGGCACCACAGACAACTACAATGTGTTGCATGGTTGGATGTCTTAGGGTCTGTCTTTGACAGAGACAAGACACCCGTGTCCACACAGCTTACGTATCTAAATACTAAGAGCTGTCTGTTCAGAACCATGGACAGCTACTACATTCTCTTTATTTTTGTCAACGCACTCCTGTGACAAAGCAGGACAGTCTGAACCCATTCAATTATTTGTAATATGTTCTGCACTAATTTGCACCTTATGGAACACCAAGCTTTCAACTAAATTTCTGTGATATTTGGAACATTTGAATAGATTTTTTCGGCAAATAGAATTATTAAGTGTGAATTATTAAGTGTCTTGAGAATGTCTCTATTTTGGCCAAAACGGTAAGTGTGCATTGCTACTGGTAATTATCCACCTAAAGGAAGGTTTATGTACATGGACTTCCTATTGATTGGAACCTCTCTGTAGTGCAACAATACATCCAATTGGCTTTGACCGTAGTTCTTAGTTAAATCAGACCCTGCATTTATTATGTCTATAACAGTAGGTCTGCTCTAGTTCCCTTGTTGCAATTGTTTGGTTGTCCAAATCAAATCACTTCACTGGGGGCTTTTGAAGTCAGTGTGGGGGCACAATGGCTCCCAGAGTATTACATTAAGCAGCATGAGGACAACTGGGAATAGAGCCCGTTTCTTTTCCAAATATGCCCCAGTCTACCAGTTCACACGGGTTGAAGTATTTATTTGGTTCTTCCTCATGATTTTATTTTGTTTAAATTATCCATTTAACATGTAATCCAAAAAAATGCTCACAATCACTGCAGTGTGAGTTTCTATTACATTTGGGTTTCTGTTATAATTGAGTACTCCTTCATATTTTTGGTGTTCAAGGTGTGTGTGACAGGATACTTAAAGTCTACAGTACGTGAAAACACAGCGTGCTGCTACGTGTGCGTGACGTCCACTTAACTCTCCCCTTCCCTCTTCGTCCTCGGTACCAAACCTCAGCTTGCGGCGCGGCAGGAGGTGGGGTTGAGGACGAGGGCGAGGCAGACGCCGGCTGGATCGAGGGCGCGGCCATCCTGTTGTCGGTGGTGTGCGTGGTGCTGGTCACGGCCTTCAACGACTGGTCGAAGGAGAAGCAGTTCCGCGGGCTGCAGAGCCGCATCGAGCAGGAGCAGAAGTTCCAGGTGGTCCGTGGGAGCCAGGTCGTACAGCTGCCAGTGTCGGACATACTGGTAGGGGATATCGCACAGATCAAATACGGTAGGTGTGAGGGGATCGTCAAACTGTGTGTGTGTGTGTGTGTGTGTGTGTGTGTGTGTGTTAGAGTTTACTAGGTTATTGACATGCAGCAAGTGAAGAATTCACTGTTGTGAAGAGCTTTGAAAGCAGAATTGATAAACAGTTGAAAGTTGGAAAAGGCTTCTTTTAGTCTGTGCTGTAAACACATACGGACGGCCCAAAGCAAAAACTATGAGGTCATCAATGAAGAAGTAGATCTTCTGGCTTTGTCCAGTTAAATTTGGTGGCGACACAAAAGTTTCCTACATTTTTACAACTTCTTTCTGGAGAAATAAATTGCAATTGGGTGTTATCTTTAGTTTGTATTGTTTTGCAGCAGTGCACAAAGGTATTTGGACTCTGTTACAACTATTTCCACTGTTTATTATTATTTGACATGTCCCCTTCTCACTGTGATCATTGTGTATCAAATATTTTTTAATTTCAACCTTGAAAGAGAGTAAAATATTGTTAAGTTAACAAAATTTGACTGAGCTTGCAAGAACATTTAGATAACTTTGGGGACTTCCTTAATTCCCTCGTCTTTTGTTCTGCGTAAAGTAATTTATTTTGTTCAGTGGCTGAAGATGGACTTCCACCTCATTTACAGAGAAGGATTAAAATAAAATCCACCAGAATTAATTAACTATATTTAAGCAACAGAATTGTAATGCGGAAATAAATTTAGCTACAGACAGACAGACGCTCGCATCCTCTCCCGACGTAATTAGCTACTCCACCATTGTAATTGCAGGTGATCTGCTTCCCGCTGATGGAGTGTTGATCCAGGGCAATGACTTGAAGATTGATGAGTCATCACTGACCGGCGAGTCCGACCACGTCAAGAAGTGTGTAGACAAGGACCCCATGCTGTTATCTGGTATGGTACCAGTCGATGGATGGCTGGAACTGCATGTCACTGTCATGGCTTCTGCAAGAAGTAATATTGTGGTGTAAAAGAGAAAAGGTCTCTGAGACTGAGGACTGTAATTCACATTATATGGTCGTTTTCTACCGCTAAGTTTGAAGAATGTTGAAAAATAGTCATCACTAGCCTAATGACACAACCTTTTATTGCCATCCACTGCCTCTAAAGAAATGACAGAAGCAGAAATAGTTACATTTATGTATTAATCTGGAATTTTAAAATTGCTTTAATGTCAGGAGAACAGTTTTCTCATTGGTATCCCATCACTACTACGTGGTTACCTTTACTTATTGGGATTAGGTTGGGTCTGCCTTTTTTTATATATTATATATTTTGAAAACCAAAAGAATTATGAAATGATGATGTTAGTATCGAAGAAGACACAGCATTGAAAACACAGCAGAGACTCTAGACTGCAGCTTGAAGAACAGAAACGTGGGTTAATTAGATTTCACATTTTAGTATTTCTTTTCCTGTGGATAATTAGCCGTGGGCCTCTTTGCTGTCTTCTTTAATTAGCATTATATTCACCCACATGTACTTCCTCTCCCGAAGGTTAATAATGGTCTGCCTTTGTTTACTGTGAAACCTACACACAGTGCAGCCTGTGCACATTTGCACAGTGACACAGTTTTACTGCATTGCACTTTCTAAGGAAGAGTATTTAGAATATAAAAGTGAATCAGAATAAAGTCTGACTTTCGTCAGGTGATATTGGTTGAATACTTTGTTGCCAGTAAGTACTTTTAAACATTCACACCGTACAACAACGAGTAATTTCCCCATTATACGTACAGATTTCTTTTAGTAACAGGTAACTTCTGTATTATTCTATATTATTCTAACTGTACTGTGAAGAAATGCACACGATAATGGGAGGAATTCCAAGAATGTCAATGTTTTTTTTTAAGCAGACACCAAAATTGCATCTAATCTAATGTGACACTTTTCAACACGATCTCACCAGGCACCCATGTGATGGAGGGGTCAGGGCGCATGCTGGTGACTGCTATCGGTGTCAACTCCCAGACCGGAATCATCTTCACCCTGCTGGGGGCCGGCACAGAGGAAGAGGAGAAGAAAGAAAAGAAAGGTAAGAAAGATCATTATATTATCAACTCATTTTTCTGCAGCTGGTTCAGGAGTACTCAGGTAATTTCACTCGGCAGCGTACACTTACACAAAAAGCGTACACAAAATAAAGCTTTTGTTTGTCATTACCTTGCGTCTTTTGTAAGTCTAACTGTGTGCTCTCATTGCATCACATCAGCGTTTTAAATGTCCTTGTTATTGAAGGGGTTATAAACATTAATCTCACAAATGAGAAAATGTCCACATGTGAACTTCACGGCCGTTCCATAGGCATCTGTAGACATTGGGCCTCTTTGCTGACTCTGTATAAATATTGTATGAAATGAGTATTGGTGGTGCACTTGTGGGCTGCAGTATCCAGGTTCTGTGGGTTCAAGTGCATCATTGTCCTCACTCTCTATCCATCCAAATTCTCTTCAAAGGAGGGGCAGTGGAAGACGGACACCAGAATACAGGTAGAGTATCACCTTTCTCTGACCCCTGGGAGTGGTACTCGATCCTTTTGACCTTCAACCCCCTTACTGGCACCATTAAACCAACGCTGCTCTACACACCTCTTCTTTACCCCAGCACCCTTCCTCCAGTATAATAACTTCCTCCAGTTTAATTCCTCACTTAAAAAGAGAAGCCTCCCACAAAACAGCATCCCTTTGAGTGTTGACAGATGACACAATCCTCGTACCATGTGACATGTATCTGCACTCATCAAACTAACTAGGTAGCATATTTTGAAGCATTTTACATCAGTCCTCACGTTGTGCTTGAATTCTTACGTTACACAAGTCAAAGTTATCCACCGGGGAAGATACAATAAAATGTGTCTTCCCCTGTGGATAAAAGGTTCTTCCCCTGATCTGAACGATGACAGATACTATACATGCTCTTTTAGTGCATCTACAAAATGTGCATTATTTTCAGTTTAATCAGATTGACCAAAGTGTCCAAAAACAATCGTACGTAATACTTAAATTGTGGCCGTCCTAATTCATCAAACTTCAGAAGCCTAATTTAAAGTTGCATCAACAATATATATTGATAACTCTATTACCTTTGGTAAATCAAGTGCTTTTTAAGGTATAGAATTGTGATCGAACTTCTTAATCTTAATCAATAAGATATTGTAAGATATTGTCATTAGCAATGAACTCTAGACACAGAAGCCAAAAGGACACCAGGAAATAATAATTGACCTTCAATTGAATTTCCTTTTTCCAGTCACGATAGTTTATGTGACTGCTGTCAAACGACATTAACATACACTTTTGAGATCTATTCCAGGTTTTAAAACTGAAATACTCTTTTGTGTGTATTTGCCTGGCTGATAAATTAGCCCATTTAATTTGCAGATTTATTTATTTTAATTGATTTTCAGATTGGCTATGCAACACTTTATTGGCTCACTTTCAAATTTTCTGCTAGAAATTATAATTTTGTGATGCTAACAGATGAATAACATGGTTTAATTGTATTACACAGTGCAACAGAAACCAAAATGACAATGAATGCAGAGTAACACTAGTGTTTACCACACATGCTATTACACCAGTACACTTATTGAAACAAATATCCATAAAATAATCTTACAATAGGTTTGTCTTTTTTGTGGCTTTGGTTTTACATTTTATGATATTGGGGTTTTTTTTGCACAGATTTCATAATGTCTGTCCAATGTTACAGTCGTTTGTTTATTACATATGATTGCATAATAATAATATAATATGTACATTACAACTCACCACACTGATCCAAACACTAGACTTATTCACATACAGTCTACAAATGCTGAAACTGTGCTATAACCATGTTATTTCTGTTCACTGTCTTGTGTGTGCACGTACGTGTGTCTGTGTGGGCGCGCGTGCTTGTGTTTACGTTCATTTGTGTTCGGCCTTCCTTGTTACTGGCTAGACTGCTCACATCCCCCTATCCACCCCATCGCAACTATAGCCACGGATGGGGCTGCGGGCATTAATGCCCCTGGCAGTGCCAGCCTAATTAATGGTAGGTTGACCAACCCCCCTGATCACTGACCTCTTTCTGTCGTGACTTCTGACTCCTACCTTCTCCATCCTCAACATGCCTCCCATCGCGGGTGCTCACCTCCCGCTCTGCTCTATCTTCTCTTTCAGTGGTGTCGAACCCTCTGAATCCATGCTGTCAATGCACGCCTGTTGTAGTTGTGAAACTTTGTCTGGTTGTCTAGTTTGTGTTATCTTTCTCTTTGTCTTGTAACGCTTTTAATGTATATACCTCCTAGCTGTCTTGGAAAAATTGTAAAGATTTTTTTATGTCCATCTTTAAGTGAACACTAAAACTAATAAAGGTCATTGGATGTCTTTGATGCTTTCGTGCTGTGAAAACATTTAGAGCAATTTCATATTCCGGTGTTAAAACAATATTCTGTGAGCGATAGTCAGGATACCATGTGTGAAGTCTTTCAACATTTGAAGTGTTTAATAGTTAGATATTTGAGGAGGTGGGACAATAACTTTCTTTATATAGGTTTAATGAGAAGTTTGAAAACACTGTTAAGAAATAGCGTGACGCCTAACGCTAACAAACGGAGTTAACACACATACTGCGTTTACTTGTTACAGTAAGATGGAGCCAGACTAACACTCATTTCCAGTCTTTAATCGTGGCCAGCCGGCTGCTGGTGGAGATGTCATAGTTACTGTTCAGAGGTTCCCATTTTATCATATGTTTCATAGGGATTGATTGTTGTTGTATCAATTTATGTGTCTCAGGGTAGAAAAACACTGTAGGTCCGTCGTCGAGTGGCTTCTGAAATCAGTGCAAATCCTCAACTTCTGCGTGAGCTGAACAAGATGCAAAAGATTAACTTCACGTATTGTTGCACAGGGATCCCTTTTTTCTGTGTCTCCGTGGAGAGCAGCTGGAAAGTGTTTGTACTCAAGGTCGGGGCATGTGAATTGCACTGTAATGATGACCTTGGCTTTTCCTGGGCTGTACCAGAGAGATTCGTCATCTTACATTACATTACATTACTTATCTTCAGCATATATTGTGACTCCAGGGAACTATTTAATGTGGAAGTGGAGGTGAAGGAACCCATTGATTCTCCATATTTGCCAAAGATTCTGAGAAAATATGGTCTTCTAGCTCCAGCTGAGCGATTTTCTGAGTGTGTAAGCAGAATCCAACAGCATAATAAGCTGCTTGTCCCTGGACTTAGTGTTCGATTTTCTTTCTGTTGTTCTTATGTAACTTTGCCATGTGGGAGGCTTTTCCTTCTGTCTCCCTCTCTCTCTTCCTCTCTCTCTGTCTCTCCCCTTTCTCTCTTCATCTTTATTGTTCACATCTCCAGTCTGCTTCCCTCTTATCGTGTGGTCTCGCATGTGCCTCCTGAATTTTCCTCTTATGCATGCAGCCTCTTGTGATATGTGATGCGTGCGTGTGTTTGTGGTACACTTTTCTCCATTGAGGTTTTTAATACTGTTCATAATGTGTGTAGAATTACCTGTGCTCATTTTGTTAGTATGTTGCAATTAAAAATAACAATTCAGGCAAATGTTTGTATTTCTTCTTTCAGTTAGACAGGATGTTTAAACATTGTTTTTTTTCAGAAGTTTATGTAAGAATTGTGTAAGAAGAAGCGCAAAAAACCCAAACATAATTTTTCTTCCACTTAATCCAAGAAAATCTGAACCCTGGAGTATTTGTTTGTGGCCTGTTGCCAGTAGCCGTGCCCTCTGCCTACATGCCATCATTTACACATCACAAGCCTTTCTATGTGACAGAGACGTTGTATTAAAAGTCATTTTCCTGTCTCCCTGTTTGTGTGTTCTGGTTTTCACTATGTGTGCCGTCTCTGTCGTGATACTTTGTTGACTTTGTCTGCCTTGGTTATTTTTGTTGTTATTGTCCTGTATGTCTCCATCGTAGGTAAAATGCAAGATGGCAATATGGAGAGCAACCAGATTAAAGGTAACCAAACCATATCGTTCACTCTCTCCTCCCCTGCTTTTGCTCTTCCTCCATCTCCTCCTGCCCTCTCTTCCTCTTCCTCTCTCCTCATTTTTCCTCCTTTGGAGTTTGGTGTAAGCGTTTACCGGCATTCAAATAGAGTAGAAACTCCCTCTTCTTCACTGTCTGTCACCATTATGTTGTCAGTGGTCTGTTGTTCTGTTGTTGTCATGTTGTTGACTGTCCCGACCTCTACGAGAAAACACAAACATGTCCCGTAACTACTGTGTCTTCCTCACATCGTAATTCCCTGATGATCCAAACTTTTATCTGAGAGCTCGTTACACACCTCGGTTGTCTCCTGAATGTTTTGTGAAATTCTCCCCACAAAATATGATGTCAATTGTCTGTGATTACAGGAATACGGTAAAGTAAATTTTTCCATTCAGTTTAGTCAATAAAAGGAAATTAGAGAAAAATTAAAATTTCTCATCCCAGGTTACCAAACAGGTGCCTTAAAGTCCCTTAAATGTGTCTGGTAAAATATACAAAAAGGTGAATGGAAAGATTCATTTAAAAATGTTTCAATTTCTCAATTTTCTTTCAGCATTCTCATCACATCTTTTCATAAAAATAAAATAACTATTAATCTAACTATGAAATCGAGTTAGTTATATTTCTATGTTTGCAGTATTAAAAACTAAATGACAAAATTCTGAAAACTTTGTATCATCAACAAAAAGACCCACGACTGTCAAACTCTAAAAACAATCCTTCATTTTCACTCAAATAGAAATTCTAAATCAACCAGGACTGCAAAAGCAGGGACAGATGGACAAGCTAAGCTACGTCCGTCGGCTAAGCTGAAGGGCAAGAGAGTGAAGGATATTTAAAAGACATTTTTGTCCTCGGTCAGCGATGTGGAAAAACAAAATGCACAGCCAAAGACATGAAGCAAATGTTAAACATTGAGGGTTTTTATGAGCAGCAAACACAGTACATGAGTCATTGTGATCGTTAAACAGGGCTGCAAAGATTCTTGGTCATAGGCTTCATCTGCAGAGACGCACTGCACCACGATTATGAGGAGCAGAGAGATGGAGACAGAGTGAAGATATTAAGGATAGTTTTTTTTAACAAAAAATAGGTAATCTTGATTTTATCAGGCTTAATCTATCTATGTATGTATGTATACAAACAGTATACCTAGATAGACAGTATCTAGATACAAAATGAAATGATTTCAGTGTGAAGATTAATTACATTTAACATATATACTATATATAACATATATATATATATATATAAGTTATTTAGCAATAAATCAATATGGATTTGAACGTTTTGACGTGGAATTATTTTCGATTTAGTTTTTTCAAAAACATGTCAGTTGTCTTGGCGTTGGCGTTTGTATTTGGGTTGTTTTCGGCTTCCTCCCTGAGATGTTTGTTCCAGTGAAATGTTTGATCGCTTTAATATACAGTTACTACTTCATGCATGTAGATTCATGTCATTATAACGGATGACCTTTCAATATTGTTATCTTTTTCATAATCAATTAACGTTTTTCTTTTGTGGTTTCATAATAATTGTTGCCAGAATAGCTTTCCTTGCCTTCAATCTACTTGCTGTATACAGTAGCTGTTAAAGCGCTGCTGCTGTCTACATATCACGGTCTGCAGTAAAGTGAGATGTCTGCTTTAAATCATTCTTTTCGGAATTATGCTAGAAATGTTAGAATAATCCCTTTAATGAATTTAACTTTTTTTCTGGTTGTTTGTATTTTGATCATTCTTGATGTAAAGCAGAGGGATTTTTCCTTCAGTGTGAAATATGCAACACAGTATAAAAGGCTTCCCCCATATATAGGTGTGCAAATAATCCTTGAACTGGGCTTCAGATGTAGGACCGCTGAATGACGTTGTGATGGGGAAAATAACTTGAAGAAAAAAGAAACACAACCCTTACGTTAGCAAAAGGAGAACTACATCATTGTGAATCTTTAGTTTCCGTCATCTACACAGAAAAAATGTTCACAACAATGACTGCGATTGTACCACAAGACAATGCAGCGACAAGCATCAGCACATCCTACAATGTAAACGCGTAATATATCTATCCCTTCTATAATCCCTTCTTGTCTTTAAATATTAACTTTATTTCTCTGCAAAACCTGACTTCCTGTTCATTGTTGTTCCCTTGCTGTAGTCTACACTTCTAATGCTATTGCAATCTTTGTTTCTTTGTGGTGCTTGCAGTAAAGAAGCAGGATGGAGCAGCTGCCATGGAGATGCAGCCTCTAAAGAGTGCTGAAGGTGGAGAGTCTGACGAGAAGGAGAAGAAGAAGGTGTCTGGCTCGAAGAAAGAGAAGTCTGTTCTCCAAGGGAAGCTGACCAAACTGGCTGTCCAAATTGGCAAAGCAGGTACAGCAAATTGCACATGGACGGAAGTTATTGTTATATATTATTGTTACACAAAACATGCTTATAATGTCATGTAAACAATTTGTGGCCCCAAAGACGGCAGCACAGAGGCATTTTTATTAGCACAGGCCCAAACTGCATATATGCCCTTAATGCAGCAAAGAAAGGGGCTTCTGAAGCAGTATGGGAGAATTCAAATTATCAGTTTTTGGCCAAAGTTGAGCTTTTACAATTTTTATAGAATCCCTTAAAAGAAGTCTTTGTTTGTACTGTGGGCTTTTTACGTCAGACCCTGTGATTGAGTGATAGAATAAGGACGTGGTGTCAGAACAATTCAACACAGCGGATGGATTAGCATACAAGCAGCACTGTAGGATCATATCTGCTTCCTGCAGCTCTGGCAAAAAAAGCCTTTGTCTTAATACACTTCAGGGTCTGTGACCCACTACCATGTGTGCCTGTCTTTCTGTCTCTCCGGCTTCTCTGCTCTGTACATGTTCACACTCCTGGTCCGACACCAGGTGTGTTTCATTACATTTCAGAAAAGAACTAAAGAGCCCAGACACACTTAGTTGACTGCAATGCATTTACACTGTGCAAGTTTCATGCAACCAGCATGCACACAACCCTGTTACATGGCACGCATACATGTAAAGCAGCCTTAATAAACATTATCAATTACAGGTATCGATCGGAAGTCGATATTGTAAGATGGTGGAGGCAACGTGGTGGCTCAGTGGTGAGCGCTCCAGCCTCACAGTGTATAGGATCTAAGTTTGGATCCCTCAGGGTGCATCTGGGAAAGTTAAAGGTTCTTTTTATCTGCGTTCCTTTTGTATGATCGTTTTTTTCTTTCCCGATACCAAAAACATTTCACAGGATGAATTTAGAATTTTCATTCGGACAAATTACCAAACTTGGATCCCTCTACTCGTACTTGACACCAGCTGAAACCATTCTGTAACTTTCTTTTAGGTCTGCTCATGTCGGCCGTCACAGTCATCATCCTGGTCCTGTATTTTGCCATCGATAACTTTGTGATGCAGAAGAATCCTTGGATGCCAGAGTGCACTCCCATCTACATCCAGTACTTTGTCAAGTTCTTCATCATCGGTGTGACTGTGTTAGTGGTGGCCGTGCCGGAGGGGCTCCCGCTGGCTGTCACCATCTCCCTGGCCTACTCTGTCAAAGTGAGCAAGAATGATGAAAGAAGCACACAGCGATGTTCATTGTCACTTGAAGCCCGTCAAATACAGACACTTGGTCAGTGGCCTTTAGGCTTCAAAGCCGCCCGCTGTAGGTACCGCTCTGGTGTCCAGTGTGGACCCACTCGTTAGATGCAGTCTGTTCAGAATAAACTGAAAGTACGGGTTCAGGAAAGCACCACTGATGTGACGAAATACGCCATGTTTACCATCAGTTTGACGTTGACAGCAGGCAATCTCCCACCTTTCAAAGTGGATAATCTTGTACTTAATGCTACGTCAGCTCCTCTAAGTCTTTAATACTGATACACGTGGGTCTACGTTGTAGTTAGTTGAAAGCAGCGCGTGGGGCCCTGGCACGTTGCCGCATATGGAGTTTAGGGGGAGGACAAGTTGTACAATGCTATAGTTTTGCTGTAAGGACGGTCCGTTCACGCACACAGTATACATAGTAGTGTGTAAACCTCTGCATCCTAAGCCAGTTCTCTGTCTTTAACTGCAGTGCATCGGAAAACATTCTGAATGGATCTTTTTTTTCCGTAGTAATGTAAGAAACCAATTACTCTTCAAGACTAAGTCCAGATGACATGGTGGTTTTTTTTCTCTCTATTGCATCTACAGCATTTTTGTATCCTATGTTAAAGCATAATGATCCCTCTTTTTGTAGTAAGGCCGTTACACAAAGTGCCTGTTAAGCAAATTCAGTCTAATATTTTAAGGCATACATTCTATCATGATCATTATGTTGTTTCCTACCAACAGAAAATGATGAAAGACAACAACCTGGTGCGTCACCTGGATGCATGTGAAACTATGGGCAATGCTACAGCCATCTGCTCTGACAAGACGGGCACGTTGACCACCAACCGCATGACGGCTGTGCAGTTTTACATTGGAGATGTGCACTACAAAGAAATCCCAGATCCTGGCGCTCTGTCACACAAATCACTGGATTTACTGGTCAATTCCATCTCCATCAACAGCGCCTACACCACCAAGATACTGGTAAGCCACCCGCAGTGGTCAGACGAGACACTTTAGCACCTATTTTGGGGCTTGAACATGGATGTTACTGCATCTGAACACATACACCTAATGATCATTCATTCATTTCTATTTCACGAAGGTAGTCACTAGGTCTTTGAAACCATCTACACTATTTTTACTTTATCACGTGGCACCTTCTATGAACCCTTCCAGCGGTATTCCGAGACTTAAGCCCATTTGGTTAAGTCTTGAATATTGTGGGTTACATTTCAGCTCGCTCTGTGCGAGCAGCGAAAGCAGGTGATGAGAGCAGAATCTGGAACGGTAAGACGGTTCTGCGGTGCTTTCTTCATGGCGAAGCAGACATTAGGTGTCCTTGGCTCCTGCTTTAAATTCACCAGGCATTCGCTCAACTTGTCACCTTGAGAACAGTTGTGTAATTTGGTTTCTATCTGATATTCTCACTGTGATTTAATCCAATCTGGCTAAATCGCTGGAGATTGTCTTTGGTTTTAAAGTGAATGCAGCAAAGAGAATTTCTGTCTAACCAAATAGGACCTGTATGCAGTAAGACATGTTCTAATCTTAGAATTGGAAACCTGTTTGCATAGATATTTCTTCAGTGCACTCGGCTGAAAATAATATTTTAGTCATAAAGCATTTTGCATAAATATCATATAAGAAAATATTGCCAATATCAGGACGTTATTAGACTGGAGCTACATACATCAGTATCATTTTGGCATTTCTCGCCAGGACACACGCACACACACACACACACACACACACACACACACACACACACACATATTCATGCCTGCCCCTGTCACTATGCTTGTAAACCCCTTAAGAGTTCATGGCCGACCAACTGAAAAATACCCTTATGGAACTTGCATGAGGAATGAGCCGAGCAGGCGGGACATCTGCGATAAAATTATCCCACAGATTTCACTTCCCACACCTCAAGGCGCAATCACAGTCTGGGTGAAGTGTGTTGGTCACTCGGCTTTGAGATGGAGAGCTGCTGTACATACTTGTGTATGTGTGTGTGTGTGTGTGTGTGTGTGTGTGTGTGTGTTTGAAGCACAGTAGAATAGCAATGCAGGCGTAGAAGGCGGACAATGTCTCCCAGGCTTTATGCCAGTTTGCAGTGATTTTTAAAACAGTTTTATGACCCATTCACATTGTACTTATCTATATTATTATTATATATATAATGTATTTAAATTAAGCGTATTCCTTAACAGTGTGCATGGTGGGTTTGTTCTCGTTTAGCTTACCTTTCCCTGTTTTGATAAAGCAGGAACTTTAGCGTAGATATTTCTCTTTACAGAATTCTTTGATTTGCTCAGTAAATCTTACATTTCCATCTTTCCTTAACTGACCAAATACCTTAAAGTGTGTGTATCTGACTTGGACATATAGCCTGGTTGTCCTTTTCAATTTAGTAAAGTTAGTAATGTGATATAACAGGAAATGAATTAGTGGTGCAGTGGTAGTTGTACTGTAGTCTGGGCAGTAACATGCTGTTCATTTTTGATGATTTGACTAAATGTAACATACTTTAAAATCATGGTTTGAGTAAAATAACTCTCCAAACTAACAAGCTAACTATGAGTAGTCCAGTAGTGTGACCTTCTACACAAATATGAACAACTATACGTGTCTTAAAGAAGATTTAGTGGCTGTTACATGACAGGCAAATATGGTAAAAAGTTAGAATATGCAAAGTATTTTAGGTCTCTATTGAGAACTGGCTGTGATAAGATGCCCTCTTCAACCACTTGATTTCATCGAGATCACATCCACAAACTGATGATATAAACATGGTTTTAAACAGGACTTTATGGTCCTGAAAGGGTTTATTTCCCGTCTTGGCTACAACTTATTTATTAAAACATTAAATGACACATTAACTCTGTTCTGTAATCTCATGCATGAAAGTAAAAGTTGAACGTAGGATGAACTTCAAGTGATGAATGCCAGCTTACATACTTGGACTGTTTGTTACCTTCCATTAGTCGTTACTGTCCAAATATACTTGAATAAATAGCGTACAGAGGAGAGGACAGCATATGTCAGAATTATCACTTTTCTGACAGCTCTTATTAGAATAAAGGAAAAATACAAAGGGAAAGCCAGACAGCAATGCTGAACATAATTAAGAAATAAAGTGAACTGAGAAAGTATGACGCAAAAGCGTCATTTCAGAGCAATATTTAGTGGATCCCCTGCTCCCCTCCCCCAGCCGCCCCACTCCCTCAGCGCAACTCCAGCCTCGCAGTATGCTGGCTGATGTGTTCTTATGTAAGAGGCCAATCCCGCGGGACGCCATGACGGCTGTGGAAGTCTTTGATGGCCAGCACACAAAGGCAAAGAGGCAGGCTTTGATACCCATATCAGTACACGACTGCCTCACTGGATTCATAATACAGCCGGCGCTTCCTCTGTCAGCACATACATACTGAAAAAGCCTCATCTTTTGGGGGGGAAATTCACAAGCCGACACTGTATCCTTCTGCACAGGTTAACGTATTCATTTATTCTGAAAATGATGCACGCAAACAAATAAGAACACCAGTTTACCTTGCAGGTCCCTGCAGGCAGGTCCAGCATGCTACAGTTACTTGTGCATGGTATTCAGTGGCAAAAGCCCTACAGACCCATATAATTCATTGTTACTTTGTTTAAGTAAAACTATTAACGTGCAGGTGTACACATATCAGGCGAGTTCTCTTGCACTGCAGGAGGTATTCAGATCACAGGTGTATCTTCTCGCAGCACGGTGGCATGTGTTTAGCATGGCTGTGTCCTGGGAGCTCAGTCTCGTGTTGCTTCAACCACCTGCTCAGGTCATTATTCTGGTCAGGGACAAAAGAGGGAGCCACAACGAACAAACAAACTCACCGACACACACACACACACACACACACACACACACACACACACACACACACACACCTATACTTAAGCACACGGCTTCAATTGTGAGGGACACGCCTTCGGGAAAGACTACAGAAAATCTGAATGTGTAAGTTATGTCTTGTTCTCGATGTGAGACGTTCCCACAATTCTGATGTTGAAACGCAGAGTTTGTTCACGTTGAATCCAAAGAAACTCTGCTCCACAATGAGCATTTTATTATTTGCTATTACAACAAACCTTTTTGTTGTGTAGTGAGTAGTAAGGTCCTGCTACAATTGGCTTTCGCTCACAGTGCTTTTGTCATCTGGACATTGCGTGACTGTTTGCACAACATGCAGGAGACACGAGAGTGTCTTGGATGTCTTGAAGCACCCATTGTCCCCATGGAGTAGTTTTGCACACGGAAGGAGAAGAACGATAACCAGTCGAGGAAGACAGATAGAGACATCTTCAGAACAATTATGTCCTTCTCTTGTTCTCTCTCTTTGTGTATTCAGCACACGCGCACAGATTTTACACTGATTTTACACTGATTGCAGTGAAAGAGAAGTCGTCATCACATTAGAATGACAATGCTTTTATATTTCAGAGGCACAGAGCTTTATAGACTCCCTACATTTCACTGTCTTTTAATGATGTTTTGTGTAGTAAGGGTGAATTAAACACATACACTTTATTCAAGCAATAAGGCTGTACTTCTTCTTCAATAATGTAAAAGTTCAAGGGTTGAGAACATCCCCAAATTTTTTACATTATTAAAGATAAAGTACAGCCTCATGTCCCTTATTGCTTTCATAATAGGGTTAACAGCGACATTATAAATAGTAAGTAGTTGCGTTTCAGCACAAAATAGTTGTGTATCGCATTTCAGTAGCCAAGAGAAAAATACTCTGGGTCATAGTGTCTCCTTGCAAAATCTCATTCATTGACATCGCTCATGACGTCCACCTTAATTGTCCAGTTACGAAAGCTCACATCGCCCAAAACCGATCATTTGTGGTGTTCCCGTTCTTTTTTTCGGCGTTCGCCACCGAGCTAAAAACTAAAACGACTGTATACTGTAAATATGTACTGAAGGGGTAAAGTGCAAAAAAATGGATGAAGGGAGATTGGAAAATTATGCAAGAGGACGAGCGTGACAAGTGTCGTGGACCGGAAGACTGTGTTGCTGCCCTGCAGCACGCCGCTAGGCCTCGGCCCAGTTGGCTGGTACAGCCAGTCATGTGGAGGGAAAGAATAGCGTCCACCCCTACATGAGAAGAAAGAAGGTGGAGGCAGCGGAAGAAACGAGGGAAACCGATAGTGAGCGAGAGGCCCGAGTCATCCACAGGGAGGAAGGATAATAGGAATAGGAGGGAAGGAGAAAGGGGATGACAGAACCTGTGAAAAATGTGACATAAATAGAAAGACAAAGGAGGGAAAGGGCGGGGTTTAGTGTAAAAGAAGACGAAGAAAATGTAAGAAAAGGGGAAGGAACGGGAGGGACGGATTAAGGGGAGCCCTGGGTGGAATAGGAAGTTAAGCTGCCAGTTCTCCCTCTGGCATATGTCCTTGCCTGCAGGAGCACCTAAGGACCAGGGAGAGGGCAGCTGTTCCTTAGCCACGTCCAGGCCAACCATAGCTCTGTCGGCTGCCAACGATGGGCGTCCCGTGCCAGCTACGGCCCCCGTGCCTACAAACTCACGTCCAAACGAAACCTCTGCGAAATCCCCAACAATAAAAAGGCATCGTTATTGCAGTACGTCATTTATTTATTGCCCCCCCCCCCCTCTCCAAATGAATTTCAGTCACTGGTTTTGCTTATTCACCTGCTTCATGAAGCGCATAGTAAACAAGTGATGGTAAGATGATCCTCTTCTTTTCAGAGAAATATGTCCTGAAGGCTGAATATGTGACTAAAGATAAGATTAAAAAGTTAAGATTGATTCCTGCAATGATTCTTACAGTCAACAGATTTTGGATTGCGCTGATGTACTGGTTTAGAAAAAGCGAAATAAGGCCCAACAACCTTTAATGAGATAATGGAGCAAACAACCTTCCTGTACCACAGCTTTATGCATGAGTGGTCGTTTAAAACTGTAAATGCATCCTGTATGGTGTTCCGCTGGTCGTTTAGTGTGATGTTTTTCCCTGTTGCTTGGAGCTTAATGTCCCAAACAATTGCACCATTTGTTCCGTCCTCTCATTAACCAATAACAGACAGTGTCTTCCTGATTTAATCATCGGTCATTAGGAAAAGGCATTCATTCTGTTATTTACCCTAAATTTTGAAATAAAGTATTTATCCTCTTGTCTGTTTATGAGGCACACAGATGAAGATTAACCAGATATGTTGAATTACTAGGCGAACATTAACCAGTACTCTGATTGTGTTTGAACTATTAATGAGATTTTATATGAATTTTCGTGTAAAATATGTCAGAGCCTGAATGAATCCATAACCATTGTTATGTATTGAGCTGTGTAAGCAAACATTGAAGGAAGATATCTCTCTCTCTCTCTCTGGCAAGATGAATCACGTTTTTATCCTTCTGTTATGTTTGCTTTACTTGACAATGATTTCAGAACATGTTGAATCAGTTTTAAATGATAGAACCCAGATCACAGACTGAAGCAAACTAACGCCTTTGTTAGTCCCTCGGTTCAGTGAACAGATGGCATTTGAGTATCATTTTCTTATTTAAAGGCTTTGGCACGTTATTAACATTCTCTATTAAAACGTCATTAGCAAGTGGACAGGAGCGGCCGTAGGATGGAGAGTGCCGCCGCAGAAATTCAAACAAGCCATTAAAGTGATTTGCTGCACTGTCGATTTCCGAATCATTCCTAGAACATTTCAAACTATTGCTCGGTAAAAAAAAAGAGTTGAAAATCAAATCGAAAGGCTGGAAAATGTCAAGCTATCCTTTTAAATCCAATCCTGGTTGGAGGCTTGTTGAGACGCCTGCAGTAAATCTATTTTCGGGCAAACAGCACAGACTGAAGGTGTCTGCTTAGCGGCAAGTCAGATGCATTATGTTCAGTGTGCTTTGGACAATCCCTGTGGCTGTGTGTGCGCGTAGGTGTGTGTGTGTGTGTGTGTGTGTGTTAGAGAAAAGAGTGTGTACCTGACATGCTGTTCTTTGGCTATGAGTGCAGTTTTCTATATAGCTGGACTCCGGGGAGTCTGGGTTTCAGCTCAGTGCCACATAATAAGAGTCCAAAAAGGGACAGAGTTCTACAGTATTGATTAACAACAGCGCACAACAACGCTTACCTGCTTTTGCTCAATTTAACAACACATTTGATTTGATATAGCCCAGAAGCAAACAGCAGGTTGTTAAACACTTATTCAAACAACTACAAATGAACTATATTAACTATTATCATGAAACGGTTAACTGTTCCAGTCATTTTTCAAGCAGAATTGCCAAATATATCAACTCCCTAAATGCAAGGTTTTGCTGCTATTCTTTGTATTATTGATAATAAAAAATATTTTTGACTAATGGTTGGATGAAATCAGGTATTTTAAGACACTGCCTTGCGCTTTCATAATGTTCCGATCATTTATAAACAAGCAATCAGCAGATGAATCCATCAATATCTGCAGTCAGTGTTTACTTGATTAGCATTTTTGAAGAGTGAATTTAAACATCTTCTCTATCTCCACACGTCTGTCATCAAACTGAAATGAATATCAGCTGGAGAGTGTGTGATTATGTGAAGAGGCATGTTATGAACAATGACAGCGAGGATTGCACACGCTTACATGTGTCCCGGCTTATCAGCCGCAGTGTCATTTCACTGGTGAGCGTAGGTGTCTGACTGTGTGTGTAGGATAAAGACAAACACCACATTCCTTCTATCACAGTGGCTGAAATAAAAAAAAAAACATTTAGAAAAAACTATGGAAATGAATTCCCGTTTTATTGGTCATATTTCTGTGTAATTTGATGGATTCAAGTGTTACGCAATAAATAAAGACTGATAAAAGATAAAAAGGGAGACAGATTTGAGCACATGTGCCAAGTTAGATGAGTGAAAGAGAAAGAGAATCTGAGCCAAAGACTACAAGTCCCCGTAGAGAGAGCACCCTCTCTTCTCCCAAGTCTCTCCTTGTACGCTTTGCCCAGTGTCGCCATGGCAACGATTGGTCTCCCACAGCTGACCAAGCTCGCGCACTTGAACATACAGTGAGGGTGTATGCAAATTGCACACATGTACTGAAGCACCTGAACGTCCACGTGCACAGAAATTGTACCACCTGCATCACATACCGTATAATCTTTTGCTCTTAAATGAACACATTGATCAATCATCAGCAACAATTTTGAAAATGTATTGTTTTTTCAAAAATGATTGGTTCAAATGACTGTTGATTATTGGTTCAAAAAACAATGATTTTGAGGATTTTTATTCTGGCTGTGGGAAATTATGATTGCCATTTATTTTCATTTGCCATTCAAACGATTAATTACTTCAACAAAATAACCATCATGTAAATTGGCTATTTGAAAGAAATCCTAAATGTTGATGCTGAGATGTTTACTGGACCACACAAATACAACATGCAATGGATAGAGCACTGTGCCTAAAAAAGAACAGCCCACAATCCATCCAACTATTCTCCCACCCTCCCACACAGAGCAACCCTTTCACCTGCTCGCTGGTTAATTATCAGTAGCAGCTATTTCAAGGGCTGAAGAAAAGAAAATCCAAATGATTGAATAGATCGCAGAACAGTCAGTACACAGTGTTAGTTCTCAAATCTCCTATTATGGATTTCAGAAAAAAATTATTAATGGAATAAAAAAGATATACATATGAAAGCAAATCAATTCAGTGATGAATAAAACGTCTAAAATGATCAAATCAAAAAGTTAAAAAAAAACAACCACAGATGGATAATATGTCCGAGTCTGACACTCTCTTCCCCTCTCCAGCCCCCAGATAAGGAAGGCGGTCTGCCGAAGCAGGTGGGCAACAAGACTGAGTGCGGCCTGCTGGGATTGGTCATTGACCTGAAGCGGGATTACCAGCCAATAAGAAATCAGATCCCGGAGGACAAGCTCTACAAAGTCTACACCTTCAACTCTGTCAGGAAGTCCATGAGTACAGTCACCCAGTTGTCTGATGGAAGCTTCCGCATGTACAGCAAAGGAGCCTCTGAGATCGTCCTCAAGAAGTGAGTCTGGTTCTGTGATCGAAGTGAGACTATTCTCGTGGTGCAAGTGTGTAGCTAATCGGTTGTCAGTGCATCATTTTCATGAGGTTGTGACCTATAGTTCATTCCCCTAGGGAGTGGGAAAGGGCTGAATTTCCACTAGAAGGTCACACAGTTGTGACATTTCACAGAACATTACAGAAACAGTAGAGCAGCAAATGAGAAACTGAGGAAAACATGAGACACAGTTAAAAAGCTTCCTGTCCCCACTAAAGGAAGGAGCATAAATTCTCTAGTGACGATGACTAGCATTGAGAACATGAAGTTGTGATAAATGTATGTTACACTGTAGATTAACTTGACTCATTTACAGATAAAGCTACGAAGATGTCAATACACCTGTTTATTTTTTCCATTTTTATGTTCAAGGTTTTTGATTTTTAACTTTTCTGCGAAATAAAACGATTCCCTTACTAAGAGTTTACATGAGAAGAGCAAGAAAGCAATGAAGCAAAGGAGCGTATTTCCAAAACTATTCTTCGTACATGATTAATTAATATTTATTTGAGGTTCCATATTCAACCATTTTGACAATATCCAAGTACAGAATTGAAGTACCCTCTGAATCACAGGTGCAGCCATATCCTGAATGAGGTGGGTGAGCCCAGGGTCTTCCGCCCGAGGGACAAGGACGAGATGGTCAAGAAGGTGATCGAACCCATGGCGTGCGAAGGCCTTAGGACCATCTGCGTGGCGTACCGCGACTTCTCCGGTGATCCCGAGCCCTCCTGGGACGATGAGTCCAGCATCCTCAACGACCTCACAGCCATCTGTGTGGTTGGGATAGAGGACCCTGTCAGGCCAGAGGTAGGAGACTGTGGGATATTTTGCCATCATTCTGAGAGGATGTCGGTTAAAATGGGGTTTACTGAACGCTACAGCATCTCTTGTGTACTTCTTGTACATAGGAGATTTAAGTATACAAGCATATATCTGATCTATTACCATCTATGCTGTACAAAAAGATTTCACGCTTACATTTAGAAAGGTTATTGAACTTTTTTTTTTATTCAAAGTTTTTAAGAATATTACTTGTAATATGTATGTACATGTAACAGTAGTGAATATGCCTTTCCTTAAATGTAAGAAGGTTTAGGCACATAATTCATACATTCTAATTCAGCTGGGATGGCACCCCCCCCCCCCCTTTTCCAAATCTCTAACTGGCAGAGCATATTAACGTATTAATGTATTCTCAATCATGTCACATCTAAACAAGTGGAGCTGTGGGGACAAATACAAGCAGCAACACTCCTGTGAAAGCAGCAGCCTTCACAGTGAGCCGAGTATCACGTGCCATTTGAAAGACTCGACATTAGGGTGTTTGTTTGTGAGACAAATGGCTTCACTGATTGATTGCTTCACTGAATGATTATTGAGTTATGAAATTCACACTTCAGACCGAACCGATCTGCTTGATTCGAGATGGAATGTTTGTAGCTCAGTTTACGTACTTATATTTTAATATTTATATTGCAACTGACGGGTGCAAATGTTATGCACCCAACAGTGTCAATGTAGGCATTGCTGCAGTTTAAACACCCAAATTGCAATGATATAGTATAACACTAAAAAGTTATGTAAGGCTCATACATATATGGGATCCTGTTGCTCATTTTTACTTCTTTCAGCTACAACTAATAGAAATAAGTGATGCATCAAGAAATGAGGAACATCGTATCTACTGTATGTGTACAGCAGCAAAGTGACCTCACAGCTGACAGCTTCTGTGCGGGGTGCAGGGAAGCAGGAAGCTAACCGACTACTCCATTATTCAACATCCTCCTTTCATCTTTGTTTCCACCCTGCCTCTCCGATAAGGGCTCTCATTCAACCCAACCATGCTTCCTCCTTTACGCCTCTCTCTGTGTCATGGCGTTTGACTTTCACCTTTTTCAGGTTGCTCTCTTTTTGTTTTACTTTCTATCCCGATGCCTTTCAATACCTCTCTGTGTGAACACACCTAGATAAAATAGATTATAATCTGAGATTGTATATTTGAGCAAAGTAGAGTATTCCTGAAAAGAATAATGAAACATAGAAAGGACAAAAAATATGCAGGACAAATAGCTTAATATTGCAAAGAGGACATGCAAAAGATTTCTAAAACATGTGATCCACAAATTCACATTTGGCGTGTAAATACAACCCCTTGCGTTTTCTCAAGCCTGCAATCCACTAACATTTGTATTATTGCATTGCACTATTTGTAAGTCTTTTTTGTGCGTCTGTTTAAAATAGTAAATTAGATGACTTTCCACTCTGCTAAAAAGGTCACATAGAGTGGTAGACATGTTTTTGGTTTGTATAGTAGTCTCCAGTTTCTTCCCTCAGAATCTTTTAATAACTAGCTGCACTCTGGTGTTGCCTCCAGAGAGAGGAGAGAAAAAGGAGAAGCGAGAGAAGGGGAAAGACAGAGGCAGAGAATGATAAGCAGATCTAAAGCAAATTCCCGTAAGATGAATGTTGGACTACAGGAGAAGGAGGCAGGTAAAGGGAGAAACCGAGGAAACAACCATATTTAGTCTGGTACGACCGGTAACTAATGGTGACCAATGTTAAAGCTTTCGATAATGAGCCATATAATAATCATAACATACCCTTCTCCACTTTGCAGATTTACTTTGTAATCCGCTCTCCTCAAATGAGTTAAATCCTTTGTGTTGTACACGTGCATTATGAACAGCTTGATTTTGAAGTTTGGCAGTCCAATATATTTACACATTGCGGTGGTGGATCCATCATACTTCGCACTTTGCATGTGTGAGTACGAGCATGCGCACATGTGTTTGTGGAATATGCCCAAGTGTCTGTTGGTGTGAAGTAGGAAAGTATGCATATTCCTTCCACCGTGTACATTAAAGTGTGTTGGAGAGAAGAAAAAGACACAGTTCTTTGTGTATGTGCAAAAGAAGGAGTTGCTGCTACTGTATAGGCACATGTTTGTTTGTGTGTGGGTTTGGAGTGCAGTGCTCGCCCACACTGACCTTTGTCGGGAAGAAGATGTGTTTCCGAATTAATATTCAGTTTTACGAGCTGGTTCTACCACAGATCTATCTCCATGCAGTAACTGTTCCCAGTTATTGTCTCCAGGCAAGAGACAGATATAGAAACAATACCTTATTATATATCTTGTTAATACAAAAAGGAACTGAGGCGCCGTTCAGATGAAATGAAGGTTTTGTGTGCGTGTTTTCTCATTTGAAGATAACTGTACAGATGTGTTCTTTAAGGGGTTATAATCAAGACTTTATACTAAAAATAGATTACATGACATCTCATTTGTTCATTAAAATGCTGAAAAGAATTACTTGTATTGTTTTCTTGCTTCTCACAGTTCTCATACTGTGGCTTTTCTTTGGCTGCGGAAGGCAGCTGGTTTCAGTAATGAAGCCCTAAAATCTTACCGTATATTACCTTCTCAGCACCAGTGCTAAGCCTTCCCTGCTGGCCTAAACAGAATAACAAGCTTTTTTGTATAATTTACTTATGCAGTTCCGAGTTAGCCTCATATGTGCGTCTTCATCAACGTACAGAGAAGCAGTGATTGGTCAGTAGGCCAGCGTGACCTTTGTCAAACAGAAAGACAGACGATTTTAGTACTTAGTCAGAGTTCAGGTTGAGCTTAGTCTGTAAACATTGAGCAGCATTTGTGTTTTAACATCTGCAGTAGCATGTTAATTTGTCTATCGTGTTGTTTTTATTATAGTTAATATTGTTGCCCCCTGATGTAAATAGTATTTAAATGGCCCGTGCTCTTGAGTGTGCAGCGTTTAAGTGCTGCGGTTTTGAAGGATTGTTTTTTCATGCTTTGTTCTAAAAAAATGGGACTGGTTCCTTGCTCCTGTCCTTAAGTTAATTACATTCCATTTGATTATATAAATTGTCCGTTAATTACGCAGCCTCCCGTCATGCGCGTTTATCTGCAGTTAATGTATTTGCAGGTGTTGAGCTTCATGTGACATTTTATTTCACTTTAAATGTTACAGTGTGAATATCAGGTGTTTACATGGAACAGATCTGTATCAGTGGCGTCATAATGCAGTTATTAGGTTATTCAACTGTAATAAGACGGCACAGAAGGCCCAGGTAGGAAATGAACGGCCCGCCCCTGCACAGCACCAAGTAGACTGTAGAAGATAATGAACATAGCGGCGCATTCAGCAGCAGACCAGGCCTTTTGTCTCAGGAGTTAGAGGAGACCCCAAAAATGCCCAACGGAGAGTGAATATCGGACTTGTTTTCCATCAGATGGCCACGAACAGGACTAGAAATGTTAATATGTGTTGTCCTGTATCACTCCTTAGGTGCCCGATGCTATCAAGAAGTGCCAGCGTGCCGGCATCACAGTGCGCATGGTGACAGGAGACAACATAAACACAGCCAGGGCCATAGCCATCAAGTGTGGTATCATCCACCCCGGAGAGGACTTCCTCTGCATCGATGGCAAAGAGTTCAACAGGAGGATCCGCAACGAGAAGGGAGAGGTACAGTAACAGTAAGGATACCTCTCTAAACCGAAGCTGCCTGTCCCTGCATTGTCTGTCTGTCTGTGTGCGTGCCCAGGTGGAGCAGGAGCGAATGGACAAGGTTTGGCCTAAACTCCGAGTTCTAGCCAGATCTTCCCCAACCGACAAACACACGCTCGTCAAAGGTGAACGGGTTGCACTATTTCCTTTATGTTATGTTATGCACTATTTCTGTTTATGTCATTTGTCTGAGTTCATCAAAAGACATGAAGCCATCGAGTCATTTTTTCAATGTACTTGCTTGTACGTGTTTGCCAGGCATTATTGACAGCACTGCAACAGACCAGAGGCAGGTGGTGGCTGTGACAGGAGATGGGACAAACGATGGACCCGCACTAAAGAAAGCTGATGTTGGATTCGCCATGGTGAGCAAACCCTACTAATATGTAGTATAATATTTTCAATTTTCATATTATTTTCTACCTTTCTTATTCAACGTCTGCAGATATCTTCTTCACCGCTGCAGTATGAAGTTTCTGCTCTCTGCCTCTGACTGTGTAGTTTAGGAGCTCCCCCTAGTGGATGTGTCAGCTCCCACTGTTTTTATGTACATATTACTTCTCAGACTACTGAAAACCAAACATTTAGTATTTGATATTTAGTCATTTCTTCTGTTCTCCTCGCAAATAAAATAATTTGACACACGCACATGCACGGTAGAGCACCTTTTCTCTGACTGCACCCTTTTCTGCTCTCCTCTAGGGTATTGCTGGTACAGATGTGGCCAAGGAGGCGTCGGATATCATTCTGACTGATGATAATTTCAGCAGCATCGTTAAGGCAGTAATGTGGGGCCGCAACGTCTACGACAGCATCTCCAAATTTCTTCAGTTCCAGCTGACTGTCAACGTCGTGGCTGTCATAGTGGCTTTCACCGGTGCCTGCATCACACAGGTCTGAGCCCTGTGTGTGACGATATGGGGACGTGATTGGGTCGTATTAGCCTAACTGTATTTCTGCTCTGTGACGTTGTTGGTTTACTTTATGATTTTCCTTACAAATGCGCAGGATTCCCCCCTGAAGGCCGTGCAGATGTTGTGGGTGAACCTGATCATGGACACGTTTGCATCCCTGGCCCTGGCCACCGAGCCTCCCACAGAGTCTCTGCTTAGGAGGAAGCCATATGGTCGCAACAAGCCTCTGATCTCCAGCACCATGACTAAGAACATCCTGGGACACGGAGTCTATCAGCTCATCATCATCTTCACACTGCTCTTTGCTGGTGCGGGCTACAATTCTGCTCTTCATTACACAAAGGGGATCTGCAACAGCATGATGATGTGTCAGGAAAGGGGTTCAGCAACAATCCATCAATTTCAGGGTCCGGATGAGACAACTGATCGTTATAATTGTTTATTATGTATATTGTACAACCCCTCCAGGAGAGAAGATCTTTGACATTGACAGTGGCCGTAATGCTCCTCTCCACGCCCCTCCATCCGAGCACTACACCATCATCTTCAACACCTTCGTCATGATGCAACTTTTCAACGAGATAAATGCCCGCAAAATCCACGGAGAGAGGAACGTCTTCGATGGAATCTTCAGGAACCCCATCTTCTGCACTATTGTTTTTGGCACCTTTGCTATGCAGGTTAGCAGATTATTTGGGATTGGTTAGTATCATTCCTTAGATGCGATACATTTTTCATGACTAGCGCTTTGCTTTTTTTAGATTGTGATTGTGCAGTTTGGAGGGAAGCCATTCAGCTGTCAACCTCTGGAACTGGAAAAGTGGATGTGGTGTGTTTTCCTCGGGCTCGGAGAGCTCGTCTGGGGACAGGTAACATGCAAACTGATCCGTCTCTGTCTGTATGATTCCTCTGTACTTCATTTGAGTCCTTGTCTTTATATCTCGACTGCACTGGGTACGTGTCCGCTTTCCATTTTGACCCGGTGCTCTGTCTCCTCTACGGGTTAGGTGATAGCCAGCGTGCCCAATAGCAAGTTGCGTTTCCTGCGGAGGGCTGGACAGTTAACTCGGAAAGATGATTTACCAGAGGAAGATAATAATGAAGATAATGAAGAGATTGACCACGCAGAGAGGGAACTGAGGAGAGGACAGATCCTCTGGTTCAGAGGACTCAACCGCATTCAAACTCAGGTGAGATGACATCAATCCGCGGATTAGGATTCTTTGTTTTAGTTCACAGAGATGTTGCTGATGATTGCATGTCGGTTTAGAGGCAAAGAACACAAACAAGATTAAATTTCCCAAGACGGTTTTCTGACATGGCTTTTTCTTTCACCGTTTGTCTGTCTTTGTCATATAATCCGTCTTATTAGGACGTAGCACGGCCGCAAATAGAACCGGAGAAGGATTTACCCTTACAAACGAGTTATAGACTATGTTGTATGTTCTTCATGTTCGTAAGTAACAGCCTTAAAGTCATTTGATCTCAAGCTGGTATTTAGGAAAATGACGACGCAGCCTCCTTTTGCTGGACCCGAGCGATCGCGTGCGTGGACCTGTGGAGGCTCGACAATCAATCCTCGAGGCTTAAACACAGCTGGACAGAGTCGTTCCTCTTTCTCACCGTGACCAACTCTGCACACCGTTATCACTGTGACATGCATGGTTGTTTTGCTTCTGGCTCAGACTGGATTTCATTTCACTGATGTGTCACTAATGGTCCAGGGTGAAGCTATCCGAAGACACTGTGATCCTACAGGGGCTGCCACACATTGTTAAGTTATAGAAATATGGGTTTTAACATAGTAGGATAACTCAGGTTTATTTAATCTTAAAAAAGCAGATGAATAAAGATGGGTCTAACTAGGCAACAGGCATAATGGTCAGATGATCAAAAAGCTTCTAGACAAATCCTCAGATTCTTAGGATTCGATCTACTTTATTTTCTATAGTTCTGTACATTTAAAGATTCCCTTTGAATTGGCGGATCATGGGCAACAAAACACAGTAGGTTCACTCAGTTCAGGTGGGTAACCACGGCAATCTGGCAAGCCGTCTAACTGTTTTCATGCTGTGAATGTTGCCTTTCTTCAGAATCGCCGACATTATTTACCAAGAAAAATACAAAATGAAACGTTGTACAAAAGCTCCTCATTTGTGAAGAAAAATAAGTGGGGATTCCACAGAACAAATGCATTGAATGATGTAAACGGATGCATCAGTATTCCTTATCTCTGCTTGCTAGTCTTTGAAAGGGTCGGATCACGCAAAGTAGCAAATTTATACTCTGCTCTGCTCCCTATAACATCTAGGAAAAGAAAAAAAACGCCTACGCCAGAGGAATTTAGTCCTGTGATGCTAACAACGTTGAAAAATGACTCTTAAAAGCAGCAACACCTCTTTCCAGATATAATGGCACCATTACTCTGGATAATCCACCCATTATACTTTCAGTGGACTTCATAGGAGTGCTTCTTCAGTAAAAGCAGTCCCAGTAAAATGCATTCTCAGTGAGATCTGTGGATCAGAGTGCCTCTTTTTTTTAATGCTGTTTTTACCACAATTGAAAACTAATTTAGCACCGTTGCGTTCTGTTGAAATCTTGCAGTGAGGTAAGAGAGATCTTTTTCTTTGTCATTTCGATGAACCTACTCGTTAAGTCAAATTGACTGACCTTCAGCTGTCTCCCACCCCTTCCATCGTGTCCCGATTGAGACACTTTGTACTCCCGTTACCGCCAAAGTCACCCAGCGAGTCAACCTGTGTCGCGCATCTGGTCTCTGTCACTCTGAGCAGCCATTTGTCCTCTCCTGTTCCGCTCTCCTCCCACAGATTGACGTAGTCAACACCTTCAAGAGTGGCACCTCCTTTCAGGGGGCTGGGGCTCTGAGACGCCAATCATCCACCACCAGCCAGACCCAGGATGTAACCAATGTTTCTAGTCCTAGTCACGTGTCCTTGTCCAATGCCCTTTCCTCTCCTACAAGCACTACTGCTGCTACTGCTCCTCCCACTACTGGCCGTGAGTCAGAACTCTGTCAGTCTGCTTCTCTGCTCTCTTTGCTTCAGAGGTGCCATCATGTCATGAGTTCTATTTTTTATTTTTTCTCTCTGCTTCATTGTCTGTCTTGTAATTCTTACAACAAATTACCGTGACAGTCTCCATTTTGGGGTTGGCATCTCTGAAGATACGTTTTTGTTTTTTCTTGTTTTTTTTTTGTTTTCTAGCTATCTGCCCTTTTCATTTCCTCTCCTCTCTCTTCTGTCTTTTTTGCTGTTCATACTGGATTTCAAATTCACCATGATATCTCCTCCCATGCTCGGGTGTACTGTCAGCTCATTGGTGAACGTGTGTTTGTTTCCTCAGAGTGCTAGGAGCGCGGGACTAAGGGTGATACCCACGGCGTGACATTTCAGGTTGTGAGTTTGTCTCCCTCTGCTCATCCCCCCATCCACCATCCCATTCTCCAACACGTCTGTTTTTATTTCTTGACTGACACTAATTTGAACTAATTCCAATCAACTCACCAAGGGACTGGGTAAACATTCAAGTATAAGATGCAACGTTGTCTTACGTCATGTGTGACTTTGGTACCGATGAGGCAACTCACGCAATTCTTACTTTTAAAAAGGACACTTGTTTGTGTGCTAGACTTCAGGGATAAATAATAGCTACTTTCAAAATGTCCTTTCATACAGGGATCCCAAAAGGTGCAGCAAAGGCTAGGTCGCTGTCAATATCAGAGGTTTTCTCTACTTTAATATTAGGTCCACTTCCATCTTCTTTCTTCCTCTCTGTTTTATACCAACATACACACATACACCATTAATCTTTATCTATGGATGAGCACCGAATGTAAAACCCTGCCGAGGGCAGATAAGTCATCCCGTCTTGTCGCTTCATGCTCTCAGTGTAGTTGACTGTCACGTTGCCATAGTTACGGACATGGATCCTCAGCAGAACCAGCCATGTAAATTCAGCCCACCCACTCTTTTCTAACCCATCAGTGTTGCTTGTCAGACATCCTGTCACATGTACTCATCCAGGCAGGTGCCTTTTATTATTTGTTTTATCTGTTTTGTCTCCTTATACCCTACTCTGCCACGGTTGGAGTAGTAGCACTAAAATATTTACCTTCAGTAACTACAGTATTCCACTCTAATAAAGAACTTCTAATAGAAATCTTCCCATTGAAAACATTATTTTTCTTTTAATATATAAGTTTCAAAATATTCATTGGTAAAATTATTAAATAGAAAATTGGTTGGTCAATACCATGTGCCTTGTATCAACATAAATGTTGTACTTTTTTGTTGTATATATATTTCTGCATTTGTTTTCCAAGAATGACATAATTTGACTTTGATTTAATATCAGAGGATTTGCCTTTTTCAATTTATATTCGAGGATTGATTTAACTATCATTGAGATGAAACGTTCCTATAATAAACACTATATTTAAGGCTTTGACCGTACACCCCTTTTTTATCCATCCCAATGTAGTATCGTGAGTCAATGTCTCATGTTAAAACATCAAATTAAGTGTTATCGACTCTTACATTTCAACAGCTGCCAGTATTATACATGCTAATGGATTATGACTAAAGCAACAATTTCCTAAAATCCTACTACTCCTACTACTATCTGTAATGGTTCCCATATTTGTTTGGAGCGTATACTTGAGTGTTTACTTAGATGTGCATGGAGTTGAAAGCTGTCAGACCTCTGACAGTAAACCTTTTATTTTTCACTATTCACTTCCATTTGTTTTGTGTCAGCAGTCTGTGTGCCGGCGTCCACGTCTTCACCATCCGGTGGTGTTTTTGCATGAAGTTTTTGTATACCTCTCATTTACTTCTTGTGTTCATAATATATTAACCTGTTGTGTTGACTCCAAAATGTACATTGTACATACTTTCTTTGGGATGGGTGGGAGGGGTTTGTGTTGTTTTGAGTTTCCCATTGTAATGCTTGTGTCGTCCGCTCCTCATGGAGAGTTTGACTCTCTCCATTGCTCTGTTTGGGACCATGTTTCACACCCACCCTGTGCTATACGTGTGCGTCCCATTCAGAGTCTGTGGATATTGTCCCACACAGTGTTCTGGTAACCCCTGATACACCTGATTTGGATCTCTCAGATCTAACCTCCTTCCTTCTTACTGACCTCGTCCACCAGATCTCTGCAAACTTGCATGTGATATTCTCCTTTTATTTTGTGTGTGAGCATTCCATTTATTAACGTGGCTTGTTTCTAGGTATACAGCACATTGGACTAAAGCGTATACTTACAACGAGCGTTTGTGTTGCTTTGGTATTTGGTTTTCTCGAAATGTATGATTTTGTTTTGTTTTTACAATTGTGTTCCTCACGGCTTTACTTAGTGCACGCCAAAACCGAGTGACTTGTGAACTGTAGTGATCTTGTGAAAGCAGAACACAGAGTGCAGTTGCTTTTCCGCCTTTACCTTTCACCTCTTTATCCTCAATTGAGAGGTCCTCTCCTTCCCCTCTGTCCCTTCACTCCTACTCTTCATCCCAAGGGTCCTTACCACCCTTCCGTTTTGGTCTCGGGCATCACATCTCATCGTTTCTCTTCTCTTTCCTCCCCCTTTTTTCTTTTTGTTTTGTTTTACAACAGATCCGCGTTGTGAATGCATTCCGCAGCTCTCTCTATGAAGGCCTGGAAAAACCAGACTCCAGGTCGTCCATCCACAACTTCATGACCCACCCGGAGTTTAGGATAGAAGACTCCACGCCCAACATCCCGCTCATCGACGACACGGACGATGATTCTGCCCGGAGGAGGAAGTACTCCAGCCAGCCCACATCCCCCAACAAAAATAACAACGCCATCGACAGTGGCATCAATCTCACCATCAACACCAGTAAATCGGCCGCCTCCTCCAGCCCCGCTAGCCCTCTTCACAGCCTGGAGACCAGCCTCTAACCCTCATCCTCGCCTCGGCTCTATCCCTCTAATGTCCTTTCCTTGCAGTCTGGGGGCAACTTATCCAATTCCTCCGGAGGTTTAACTGCAACCTTACACCTCGTCGGCCCCTAAAACTTCACCAACTCCATCTCATACCTCATTTTCCAGCCCCCGTTACCACCGTTAACGCACCTTTTTTAACCTTGGGCTCTTAAAGCTCTCTGCTCCTCTTGAAATGGAGAAAATCTAAAGTAATACAGTTAAGGTGAAAAGAAAAACATTCAATCAAAAAAAGCGCAACGAAGCCACAAAACCTTCACAGCCATTCTGCTTTTGTGGTTGTATGTGTACGGTGGCGGCGGTGGATGTGTGTGTGTGTGTGACTATATGAGCGTTAGCATGTACTGTGTAAGCGTGCCGCTGACTGCACGCCTGTATGACTGTGTCTTTAGTGGCACCGGGAGGAGGAGGACGACGAGGAGAGAGACAAAACAAGACAGACTCGAAACTCCCCTTACACTCTCCTCAACGGTAACATTGTCAATACTGATAATAGTTTAAATTAAATTGAAAAACATTGTTATTATTCTGATTCTGATTCTGATTATTATTGTTATTATTATTGTTGCTCCTGCATGAATGTACATTGCCCAGGTTTTATTTTAATGGGTTTTAATTTGATGGGAGATCTTATATTCAGATGGGCTCGGCCTTGCAGCGGACTACTGTTTCAACGGGAGTTTCTCTGAGATCCGGGCCTGCAAAGTCCCCTCTTCTGTGTGGCATGAACATGTACCCGACTGTAAACATTTATTTCATCCATAAACAGAAACGTTTAACGAGGTGGTAGGGCTCAACTTGCACAGTAGTTTGCACCTATCGGAAAAAGAGGACCGCATAATAATAATGATGATAATAGCATTTATGGTATATAATCTATAAATATAAATACATATAAATATATTTAGAGAGAGTTTATCTTTGTTTGTCGGCATGTTGCCTTGTTCCTGCTTCAATGGCTCAAAATACTTTTGACTTATTTATGTCTTAAAGAGAATGTAATTTGTTTACAACCTCGTAGAGATTAACTTCCTGATTTCTAGAAGGAAAGAGACGGAACCGAAGCTCAGAAGGACCAGAGCTGCGTTGGTGTGTTATTACTGAAAAATTGTGCTGGAATTTGCCTGCTATCTTTTCAAATATTGTAGATATTTTTAGAGGATTAACAAACAAAAAGAAACCAAAATATAATGGGATACGTAGTAAATGTGGAATCTTAGTATTACTCTATATGATTGTTGGGAACAAGTTGGAGTGGCTTGCCTTTTCTAAACGGAGGCCTACTTTTTGTGACAGAGGGGGAATATTTAATTTTTATTCCCAATTTTTTCAGTTTTTTTTTTTTTTTTTTTTTTGTGCTTCAGCGCTGGCCTGAGGTCAGGGCTCGAGTCAAGGCTGATATCAGGACCTTTACAGTGAACTTTCTTCTAGATATACCTGCTTGTTCAAAGGACTTGATGTTTAAAAAGTGCGTGACACCCAAAAGGCTGCAATCAAGTATTATTAGAAATTTAGAGTTATATTTGGCTTATCTGTGCAGCATGGAAATCAGAACTTTTTTTAAAATTTGTTTTTGTCCAAATTTTGAAATATATTGTGTTGGTTATTTTTCAATTCAATCCTTATTTAATATTGGTTCCAATGATTTCAGTTTTTCTCTTGCAGAGTGACACACACACAACCCTACACAACAGTTGGAATTTTTAACATCAAAAAAAGGAAAAATGAAACAAAAAATGACAAATTACAACAAACATGAAATGTTGCTTCGACTCGTTTTCTATATATAAAAAGACGATGCTTTTCTGCACTATCTGGTTATGAATGAAAACTTCTGTGGTGTAATTCTAGATGTGCTTTTGTGTGTTTTAACCAAGCTTGTCTTCCCGCCGTCACAGAATATACAGTACTCTAGCATCTCAACTGTACTCACTAGTCGTAAACTATTTATTGTGCTTTGACCAATCAGACATTGCCAGAGATAAGTCACATACAGGGGGCACATTTACCCAGTCTTATTGCACTCAGAAGGACAAGGCCAGTTAACTAGTCAGTACTATTGTTATTTCTATTACTAACCGAAGTCATTGGCAAGCATGACGCAAGAGGCTCATTATGCAACTTGAAAGAATTAACGATTTTTCTACTTAAAGAATCCTATACACTACTTCAGTATATTAAACATTTATCCAAGCTCTTTTTTCTTTTTTTCTATCCTCCTCCTCTGTCATTTCCCAATCGATCCGTAAATCTGGAAAGGGTGCACAAGCTTTACCAGTCAGCTCAGGCGTGTTGAAAAAGTAATATGGACCATTTGAATAATATGTCTTATTTAAGTTTGAGATAAAAAAAACTGTCTGGATTCTGATATTCTGCTTAGAAGCTGTTGATTTATTTTGTTTCCCTTTCCAGTGTTTTAACTTGACAATTTATTTGTTTATTTGTCTGTAAAAATTTAAAACAATAAACAAAAAACATAACAGGAACAACAGCATTTTTCAATAAAAAAAAAAAAAGACTTAAGCCAACATTTTCCAACCACTTTTACATCCAGGAGGACATTCAGCTTTAAGAAGATGCAAACACAAGTTTAAAAATAATCTTTGTAAATACAGCAGACGCTGAGGACAGAAACTGAATGCGGACTGGTGTGAAAACTGTTTCTGACCTCGTCTACCATCATGCACGGGTCGTACTGCCGACGCAGCTGTTTCACTGCTCCTGTCAGAAACAGTTCAACATGAGAACATCCAAATGGCAACTTGTGTTGTAACAACCAATAATTATGTTGATAATAACCCCGAAGAAGATGATGATAGTGATATCAATGATACTTTTTGCAATATACTCTCACCTGCCTCGATGTACTGTATTTAGCAGCATGCAGTTTGTGGAACAAAGAAAAAGAGAAATGCCAACAGATAACTTTTGGCATACTTAGCCATTCATGGGTAAGTGATCTAAGTGTTCATCTTGTTTTTATGATATTTTTTTTATCTATACAATAATTGTAAATAAAAGAACTCAATGTCTTTGTTCATTTAATACTATGCAAAAAGTCATGCTTTTCTGATTGTTACCCACCCTTAATCCTAGAGTGTGTTGCTGGAATGTTTGTGGTCTCAAAAGTCAGTAAAAACAATGTGATGTAAATTATTTTTTAGCTTGAGGAAAGTCAAATGATGATGAAATTATTACCATGAGGAGGATGATAATAATGGTGGTGACAGTGATGATGACAATGATGATGATGATGAACTGTGACTCTTGCTGCTTGACTGTCCCATTTACAACACTCCTGACAGGAGCGCAAGTGAAAAACATAATAAAAACTAAACAAAAAAAAGATATATATTGAACAATTCACTAAATAAATCTCCCAGAGCAGCATGACCCAGCATGGTGTGTCCTGGCCCCGTGTGACATGTCCTGTTCTGATTCGTTGTGCTTCACCTTCCACTGTCAACTTTGATTGTTTTTCCATATTCATGCATTCCAATGTGATGGGCAGAAGAAGCTCTTGTCGTTATGCAGCGTAGAACAGAGGGTTCCAACCAATTTGCCCTCATGACCCTTTCAAACAAGGACATATTGGGGCATCCGGATGTCCGAGGGGTTTTAGACAATGTACCAAGATTCTAGTGGCATCACTGACTGTGGACCTTTTTCGTGTCAGTGTGTTCTGTCTCCTCTTTAATACAAGCAGAACACAGATTCAGCAAAGTATGAATCTGAGATTCTTAGTAGTATTACATCATCAGGTTTCTTTTCTAACGTATCATTTCATAAGAATTTGACAGCCAACGGTTCAGTGATTCTGTACTTGAGCTAAATGCGATGTTAACGCAAACCTTGCTGAGGTTTAGTTGGTATAATTAATTAGCACAGTATATTAATATACTTACACCACAACTGAAGCTCATGGGAGGGCCATCTGTTTTGAAGGTATTTCGACAAACAAAATAGCTGAATAAAGGTGATATTAGATTGACAGCAGATCATTGTCTTTAGAAGTTATCCTCTGGCATCAAATTCAGATACACAAGGTACTCTCTCATGTCCTTTCAGGTGATCACAGTGTCATAGTTTGACACACTACTAAAAATCGACCCCATGGCGCCCTGACCAAGGGCCAGTATGTGACGGTTTAGAAATAACAACAGTTCATGGAAATCCATCCAATAACTATGTAGAAGTGGTGGACTGAGTGATACACAGAGCCATGCTTGAGACACATGGCAGAAAAAGAAGCAAATCTAAAAGAGAAAAAAAATATCTAACAATTAGCCTAAACAACTTTGTTCTTGTGCTTTTACTCTGCTCACTAAAGTGGCTTTTGGCTTCAAGTGTTGTTGTCATTGAACCCTTGAAGTCACCACATACTGCCAGACGCACGTTTACAACCTTTTCGGAGATTATTTAGAGCTGTCGCCCTTTCTGTTTTAGTGTGGTGTCTGAAGTGCATTACAGCCCGGACTTAATCTTCTTTCCATTTAGTCTGAAATCGCACCAAGTCTGCGAGAGATTAAGATAAGACAGATAGAAACCATTTACCATCTATGAATTCCTCCTTCGTTAACTGTTTGGTGAAAGAAGGGGCCTGTTGCATAACAGAAGGGTCATGGTAGGAGGTGTCCACTGGAGGGCAGTATTTCCCTGGAGATAATTGAAGACACCATCAGATCCCTCATCAGATGGAGTTACTCGAAAGCATCAACGTTCTTGTAAGAGACTTGTGGAAAGGAAACAGAATAAAGCATTAATCCTTTGCATCATTTGAGTCTCCAGAACTTAATTACATTGACTTAATTTAGAAGCTGAGGTTGAAGAATTCAATGAGAAATGTGTCTCCTATATCTTTGTGTCTCGAGTCTGAAAAGAACACAGAATGTAGTAATAGTCAAGTTAAAACCGTTATTTAAAACCTGACATTAAAGGGCATTTTTTAAGCCCTTGGGGGAACAACCTATAATCTCATCATTAACACGTACACACCTTCGACATTTGATAAGGTGAATGTGTTAACAAGCAGCTGGTTATTCAGTAGCACTTAATTTAAGCTTGTTGCCGGTAAGGTCATTTACACTGAGCCTATCAAGAGTCTTCACGCTAAAGAAACAGATGCATGCTGCAGCACAAAGTCACATGCAGAAAACATCTGTTGGAAACCACTTTGCGTGCATCAGACAGTGATATACAAATCCGACATACTTACCAATTTGATTTTGCAGAATTGTACTGCTACAGGTCTTACCAGAGGCACTGTGCGTGTATGTTGCATACTGTTTCAAAGAATTGCTGTGGGAAGAATCCAAAAACCAGAGATTTCAGTGCCTTAGCATTAACCCGGTGATAGCTTCAGCATTAGCGAGGTGGTGTGTAATAACATCAGCATGCACGGCTGGGCCTGCTGGGGTGGCACGGCCTGTGCATTTAGAGTGGGCTCCCACAGCTCGGGAGATTAGCGCCCGAGTGCATTCAAGTCCATGTGCGAGGGCTGATTTCCAGGAAGAATAGCCCTTTATTGGGCCCCGAGTTGAATCCTGCTGCTTCCCTTTTGCCCAATAGAAAGCTGCAGTAACTGACAGTCCTTTACAATCGGCCAACACTGGCGCAGGTTTTGAGACTCTCCTTTTTTCTCTGCGCTCGTTTTCTCCCCAAAGGATTGATTTTGAAATTATTCTTTCTCTGCCCAGTGTGTGTATGGGTTGGTATATTTGTGTGTGCATTCGTTTGCATGTGTGCATACACAGATACACAAACAAAGACACAAGCATAGAGAGAGAGAGAGAGAGAGAGAGACATGCACACGTGCACATGCACATGCTTGAATGCCTGTCTTGGCAATTGTCTTAATAGGATAACGGGAGACTATGGTCCCTGTTGTGGGAAGGGACTGTGGGAATTAGGTAAAAAACACACGTTGCATTCATGACACCAACCGCTACGTTGTTGTTTGATTTCAAGTAAAAGACACATGTTGTGACTTGTTATCTCCCAGATTCACCTCTGGGCTTTAAATATCCTGCACACTTTGCCGGGAACTCAACTTAATTTTACAAAACAAAATACAACCATTATCAAAAATGTGTTCAGGGAGCATTTACAGTTAATAACTTTTGGTTGATGTTTGTGCATTTAAAACTATACGGGTCATTTAAAGAGAATGAAAGAAGGGACATTGTAGATTACTGAAGAAGGGGGGGTGTTGCAATGAAAATATCTGACCAGTAGGGGTCATTTGTGGCAAAAGATTAATGAAGGCCTATACGCCAACAAGAATCTCAGCTTTTACCAAACTTTTTGGTTCGTTAACCATTGAAACAAATCAGTGTAGTCGTATCCTGTTGTCACAAGTAAATGTATTTGCTGTAGTCTCTTCTACCTTTATCTATATTTGGACTCCCCTCAAATCCATCTTGGTGCCTCTTGGAGTCTCAAACCCCAGGTTGGAAGCCACTATCTCATCAAATCAAACCCTATCCGGAGCAGACATGTCACACTGTCATCGCGGGTTTTTAAAGGGTTCCTGCTGATATAAAAAAAGTGATCTTGTCATTCCAGATGAGGACAACAATTTTGAAACTCTATCTCTAGAACCCCATCTGTTTGATTGCCCTTTCCTTTAACTGACTTTATGCCTCTTTTGCCCAAAAAAAGTAATGCTCAATGGTGATGCACTTAACTTGGGCGATTATTCTTGACCTTGGAAATAGCTACTAAAAAATGTGATGGTGATGGTCAAAAGATGAATAAACCATCTCCATGACAACTGAGCGACTCCATCTGCTGATAAAGGTCACGGCAACTGTCTGAAAGCCTCCACAAATCCTGTTAATGCACGAATAGAAACATTGGCTAAAAGGACCAGTGATGAACTCTTTCCAGAAACAAATTTCAACAATTCATCCTCAATTATATTTCCCTTTGAAAGTGAGTTAGCAGATTTATCTTTCTGCTGATATATTGATTGATCATTTGAGGGCGTCAGCATCAGTCATTTAAACGGATTCACAGAGCAGAAAGAACTAATGAGAGAAGCAGTATCAAAATCACGGATGGCAATGAAAATATGGTAGGCTGGATGACGCACGATTCAGCGCACGAACAGCGGTGGTGTGAAAAATGCATTTAGAGTTATGAGCTGCATCGCCTGGGAAAACACACCCAAAGTTATACACCACTTTCTCAGCGGCGTATAACTTTGTGTCGTGATCACTGTCAATCCTGTGGTGACAGCGGACGGACAGGTATTTGATTAGCACCTCGCCTCTAAACCACACAGGTATGACAGCTCCAATCCCCCTGCACACTGTGTCGATACCGAGATGTCAGCCAACGATACGTTAAACGACAAAATTCAGAGGAAGACGTGGGGGTGTCATGTATTCCGGACATCTCATCTTGAGGGACGGATGAGGGGGATGTGGATGAATGAAAGCGAGAAACGGAGAGGAGGAGACACCAGCAGCCATTATTTGCATGACATCTCCAGTTTGTCTTCATCACCGATGGACCACTGCACCTCCAGGATGTGCTAATAGCTTGTGCATCAAGAGGCTGCGTGGCAGGTGAGCACGGAGACCGATGGAACTAAGTATAGCTGAATGTATAATTGCACATCAGGTTTAATATTATCAGTCTCCCATGAGAAGTCTGTAAGGTGAAGGGCTTGAATGAAATTATTACTCATCAAGCCAGTGACCGCGGGAGTGAAAATGACAGTAATCACTGTTGACATTTTTCTCTGCATTCGGGCCTTCTGCAACTCTAATCTAGATGCTAGGGTTACTTTAGATTAGAAATAAACTTTGGACGACGTGAGCATGTAGGGCAGGTAGACAGGCTTTCCATCCACTCACGTCATGTTCGCCAAATGAAATGATTGAATGGACTTCTATCTGTTGGCGACTGCCACACTTTTTTGTTTGTTGTCAGAGCATTTGATTTATTTATTGCTCTACGGGGGGGGGCTGCCATAGGTTATACGGATAGAAACGTTGACTCAGATAACCATTGGCAGTTAGAGTCATCATTTAACTTAACTGCAGGTCTTTTGACAGTGGGGAGAACATGCTGTTTAGTTTCATACAAAGAACACCTTTGCAGTGCTTCACACGATAACATATACATACATATATACATACATGTATGCTTTGATAATAAAGTATATAACAGGTTAAAAATAATCACAGAACTGGGAAATATAACTTAATCATCATAGTCTATGCAGATAAAAACTAATACTGCACGAAATCCATTTAATTTTTATCCAATTGTTAAAATATAACTAATAAATAATAAAAATGTTGTGTAGAGCAGAGATTTAACAAACTGGGGCTGTGTTTGTTGTGCAGATTTGCACGATACTATCGACTACTATTAGATAACGACACTATCACCGGTATCTAATAGAATTAATATTCAACCAACCAACGTGAGCCCTCTCAGCTCTATTGGCGAGTTAGCGGGGGTGTTGCTGGCAGGTTTTGCTCACTACTGGGTGGCCGGGTTTGTAGCGACTCAACACTCTCCTTTCTTTCAAAGAAGAGGAGGCTAATGGACTCAGTGAGGTGGGGTCAGAGTGTGTGCACTGGTGTGTGTGTGTGTGTGTGTGTGTTTATGCGTACCTGTGAGTCTATTTGTTTGACCATCACAGCCTGATACCATGATGTGATACAGTTACACTATTGTTTGAATGTAAATACTACCTTTTGTTGGGCAGCAGACTAATTGTCACAGGGGCATAAAGAAAACGCTGAATTCAAGTGGACTGAAAAGGATTCAGTGGATTGGCTGCTGCTTGTGTGTTGAACCCGGGTTTGGGATCCGTTACGCTGGGTCTTTGTTTTGCATTTCCCCAAGCTTCTTTTTTGTCCCCTTTCTCTCTCAGTTTCTTTTTGATTATTGGTTCAAATTGTGCATCCATGCAGTCTAAGACTTTCTCAGTAAAGTGACCATGTTAAAATGTTCTGGTGGTGTATTGTTGAATTGTACAAGCAAATTGCTGTTCGTATGAAGAGGGCGATCGCCATGATTTGGTTGAGATGACTTCAGAGTAATAAAGTGCTGTACTCCAAAGACCTTGGGGGTAGTAAACAGAGTGTGTTTTAACCAGTGACGTGCGGTGAGGTTTGTGGTTGGGGAGGCACTGACTCTTTCAGATTCACAAATATATGAGTTTAACAAAGTAGCATAAATCCACCATTCAACTGGCTGCTTGCGCTTCGACTACTGGTTATGCTTCATATCCCGTATCGTATATTCTTTTATAATACTGGGCAGTTGAAATCAAGCGTTCTGATTGGTTGAGAGTGAGTCACGGGGTGTACTGAATTGAGCCATAATGTAATGTTACCTGTTTACATTGACCTGAGTGTTCATATCAGTGCGGTGATCAAAATAACGGTTAGATTTTGCGCGACCGTTGGTCCTCATATTCATTTTTAGCTCGGAAAAGGCGCAAATGAGCGGTTTTGTGAAACGCGAGCTTTCGCAACCGATTTAGGGCACCTTTTAGCCAAAGAGCACAATTCGTGTGGACTCACGAGCAAATTAATGTCGATCTCCTTGCTAATCATGAACCAACTTCTGGTGCTTGGCTTACAAACGTGAAGTTCCTAATGTTGTTTGTCTGTTGCGTAGTTACAGCAGAACGGGGGTTTTCTGTAGGCTACTGAAATGCAATGTTTTGTGCTGAAAGGCACCTATTTACTTACTGTTGTTGACGATATAGTACAGCCTCTCGTACCTTATTGCTCAAATGTCCTTTTATATTTTTTAAATATTATTAAAAATAGGACTGCTCTTTTATTTTTGTCGTGTACAGCAGTGTATGCATGCTCTTACCTTTACTTGTAAATTAAGTCCATTCGCTTAACCTTGTGGACAAACATCTCTGACTTTGGTGTAAAAGTCCTCTTTATCTTCTTTTAGTTCTTTTAGTCTCTTTGTCTCAATAGACATTATTGCTCGGGGTGAAAGTCGTCTTTGGTCGGCCCGATTCAGACTGTATGTTTTCAGTTTTCAAGGACTGATAATGTGCACTTGACGTTCGCTACTTGACTGTTTTAGCTAGCACATGCTAACGATGCTATCAGTCTGTAATACGTGAAGAAAAACAACAGCGAAACGAGCCCATGTGCTCACACACGCCCCCTTCAGGCGGGCAGAGGTACTGACTCCGCCCCCGCCAGTCCAGCTGCTTCCTACTGCTTTTTAACTGTGCCGTTATGTCAGATTAGCAAGACTCACATACGTGAAATACAGGACCCAGACTATGGGATGGGATGACATGTGATGAAACTGTGTACAAACATTACATTGGTGACATATAGAGACAGTAATTGCACAAAAAATATACAAAAATACACAAATTCAGCAATTTTGACTATAACAATCGGATATATTGGAATCTAATAATTACACTTCTATCACAGATCAGTGGACACACACACACACACACACACATATATATATATATATATATATATATATATATATATATATATATATATATATATATATATATATATATATATATATATATATATACATTACTTTTTTCCACATTTCATGATGACACAAGGGGAGTCCCCTGCGTCCAGTGACCACACGTCACTGGTTTTAACACCCAAAACAACTTGGGTACAAGGGGAGTGAGGGCAAATTGAGAGTTCAAGTCCATGTCATTCAATAGAGACATTATATTTGGCTGGAATACATTATGTGAGCACGAGGATATACTGTACATTGTATATGAACAACCTGTCCTCTTCATGTATGGAGTTAGATCTCTGTCGTCTACCAGGTGCCACCAGCGTTGTATCTTCACTCCAACAAATGATCCGGGATCCACGGTGTGGATCACGGCTTTGTCTCTCGCTGCCCTTCATTGGTCATTCAGCATTCTGTCTGTCTTTCTGGTAAATCCTTGATCCGTTTTGTATTTCATCCACCTCTGCCCTCTTCCATACTACAGTCCTTTCATTCCATGTTAGCTTATTTTGTCTACCGCTCACAGCACCTTGTAAAAGACAGTTGGTAGGTATCCTAGCAACAAGTCTTTTTTTTTCCCAGTGTCCTAAATGGACAGCAAAGTGATGTGTCCCCCTGACTCCAACAACCAATGGAACAAAAAGTCTGTAGTTCTCTGGGACTGAGGTGGCCAATCCCTTTGCGGCATCTTGCTTGTTCTGGAGTCTGTCGGCCAGAGGATCGTAGTTTAAGAGAATGACTTCCAACCATCTTGTCAATCGACAACGCAACACATCTTCTGAGGGCCGCATCTCTCCGATCAAAGTCCCCAACTCCCTCTTGACCTTCCAAAGTGTTTGTTATTGCATTGGATGGAAGCAAAAATGAATTGTGAAGTTGTACCTGAATTATTTATTCCCCCTCTAATAATGTTGTAGAAGGCAACATAAAAAAAGGATTTGACTCTGGCTGAAAAGCACAGGGAGTGTTTGCCAGCCGCTTTGGGTGGCCATACTTTTTATGCAGAGCACTTCCTTTATACTTCTAGCGACAAGTGACCCGTGCATGAAGGGATTCTTAGAGACTAAGTCAGGCTTTTAGAGTCAGGGGAGTTCCTGGTGCACCTAGTCCATCACGCCTGGAAACCAGGCAATCGACTGGTATACGAACGGACCCTCTACAAATCCCATAAACGTTTTATAAGCCCATAAGAAATTGTTGTCCTTCAAGCAGCATGGGTTAGTAAGACTTTATGATGGGCGGATCATTCATCATTAGCCTGTCACAACAACAATCCAATGTTTTTAAATGAGGAGATCCGTTGGCATTGTGTGCCCACTCGCAGACGGACTTCCAGAGGGGACAAAGGTGTGAGTTGGTATGCTCAGAGCAAAAGCCCCAGGAACAACTGCTTTGACAAAGAGAAGCAGACTGTGGACATCCATTCATAAATCGAACGGGTCACTTCCTCTTCGGAGATTGAGACTTGTCTTTTCCCACAAGCCTTCAACCAACAGGGACCTCAGGTGAAAAAGAGTCGGCCACTGATTTATATATGTATTGAAAGATGCTGATATTTTTGGCAGGGTTCTAATATTGCATTTTCCATAAAATAATTGAAGCATTTCATAATTATGTGAAACTTTAGAGGCACCAGACACAAATCCATATTCAGGGATATTTATTTCTTGGCTAATCTTACGTAAGAGAGTAATATTAATGTTCTAATTTGTGTTAGAACATTAATATGTGTTAGATTTAACAAAGACTTCCTATCTACGCATCACACACACACAAAGTCCTACTGCAAGCTGTATATACAGGTCTGCAGGAAAAACGACCCAAAGTGTCATAAGTCATGCTGCAAACATTTTACGGCCAAAAAACAGACCCCAGAAATTTCGGCCCTTATTTTCCGACATTTGAACTTTTTTTATGTGAAAGTTCAAAGCAACAGAAGTCCCATTACTGTATACTGATAATAATAATAATAATAAGGCAACTTCACAGCCCCTTAATTAGCCATGTATGTATATGTATAAAAAGAACAGTGTGCAATTAAGTTTGATGCCTCATCAACTTTTATATATATAGGGCATTAAGCGGTCAAACGTGCTATATAGTGCATTAAGATCTGACTTCTATGCAAACCTATTAATGCTCCTTCTTTGACTGTTCTGTACACGGACAGACAACAACATATTTTGAGTTGACCCATGTGGAAGAGTGCTCAACTGGTAGGGCAACAGGTGAGTTGCTTGAAACTATTGACTCTCCACCTGTTCCCGCACCTCTCCATATTTTCATATTAGCCTACTCCCCACAGAGCGCCGGTCCATTCACGTGTACCGTAAACAGTGCCATCTAGTGGCGGTAGTTTGAACACAATAGTATAAATACAAAAGCATCTCTGGAAACTCATGATTCGTTCATAATTGTGAACATTGTCACAATCGGTCATGCGCACTTTGCCAACTTGCTGTTCCCGTTATTATTCTTACTGAGCCAGCTAAATGAACTTGCTGCCTATCCATATGCACACAGTGGTTTGTTTGCAGAAGGCTGCAGATCTTTATTATTTGATTTTTTTTGTCTGTATGGTGTTCTTATTGGTTGAATGCCAAATTTACAACTTTAAATGAAGGGCTTGATATCCAGTCTACAGTTTGTGTATTAGTGCCCTTTGTTGCATTAAGTTGAGTGTGCTACATCCAACCAATGCATTTGTAGACATGAATGCCAAATGTAATGGGCTGTCTGTAACATAATAAAATGCTGAATATCATGATTAATGGAAAAAAAATCTCCAAAACGCATGCCAACCTAACTTTTTCTTTCAAGGATTTTGCTCGTCTCCTCATGTCACCTTGCTCTCTCTCTGCTGTGGTAACGCTGAAGTGAGAGCTAGATTGGTTACCAAATGGCTTTTATCCAAGTAGAGGCGCTGGAGAGCTGACTGCTTGGAGAGTGGGAGCGCAGTTGCCGGTTTTCCTTTGCCTGGAGCAAGATCTACCGCCACTCTCCCTTTATATAGACGGTAGACTAACCAACGGCACTTTAGTCAACACGGATCCAGATTGTTCTCATTTTCCTCTTCTGCCCCCTCTCTCCTTTTTTCTCACCCCCTGATCAGGCTTAAACACCCTGTGTTTTGTAAAGGCAATTGTTTGAGTGCATCATCACGGGAGCCAAAAGGAGGTTTGCCACTGTTCCATAGGACACCGGTGAGTTTTGTATCTCTGATTTCGAATTTATGGATAAACCTTCTTTTTTCTTTTTATATTGACACATGTCACAACTTCTTACTAGGCTGCTAACCTGCATTCCACATACTCTAAACACGCTAGCCTTGCTATTGATGGGGTTAATTGATCTTCAGGTTCACTGTAGTTTAAAAAAATGATTATGTTATTTTCTATGCTACATAACAATGAAATGACAGTGATGTCAAGCAGAATAGTGAACCAGGGTTCACAAAAGTCAAAAAAGTCAAAAGTTGCTAACTGCTTGTTCTTGTGCTCTGTACACAAGGATTTACATTCGTGGACAATGTAATTCCATCATGTTGTTGTGCTTCAACTGAATGAAAAGTTGATGAGGCGTCACACTTAATTGCACACTGTTCTTTTTAGAAATATACATACAAGACTAATTAAAGGGCTGCAGAGTTGCCTCATTATTACTATTATTATAAGTGTACAGTAATGGGACTTCTGTTGATTTGAACTTTCACATAAAAACGTGTGAACTTTTCAATGGCCGTTGTTTTGCACTGATGGGAAAGTCCGGTTTAGATGTTGCGGGAAAGATATTATGCTATAGAAAGTCACTAAATCCAGATTTGGGTCATGAAGTCACCTTTTACAAGTCCTCTGTCCCTGCGCTTTCTCTCTCCCTCTCAGCGGGCTGCTGGAGCGTCATGACAGCTGAGAAGAGTGGGCCCGTTGTAAACGGTAAACCAGAGGAGGGCAGAGACCCGGAAGGGTCCAGCGCCAGCCTCGACAAGCAGAAATACAATGAGAGGGGGCACTGGAACAACAAGATTGAGTTTTTCCTGTCCGTGGCTGGAGAGATCATCGGGCTGGGCAACGTCTGGAGGTTTCCTTACCTCTGCTACAAGAATGGAGGAGGTAAAGAAGTTCCAATTACCTGTGGACATACACCGACTAGACCAAGTGGTAGTAAAGGTGTTTTGTGTTAGGGAATTGGTGGACGTAAGAAAGAGGAAAGAGGAGGGTAGACAAGACATTATGCACAATCAAAAATGTTTTAGGTAGTGTCATATTAGTGAGTGCTCTTGTATAAATCATGGAATTGCTCCTGTCGCACTCGTATAACGTTTCATCAGACTTTTCCGTTGATTCGTTCTCTGTAAAAAAAATCTCTTTTGTGTGCGGAAAGGTGCATTCTTCGTTCCATACGTCATCTTCTTTGTGTGCTGCGGTATCCCTGTGTTTTTCCTGGAGACCGCCCTGGGTCAGTTCACCAGCGAGGGAGGCATCACCTGCTGGAGGAAAGTGTGCCCGCTCTTTGAGGGTGAGAAAACCTGCACTTCCGATGCTTAACGTGAGATGTCTTAAGGTGTCTTACTGGTTTTAGCCACTTCGCATGCGAATACTTGCACATTACAATAATTCCAAGATAGAGCCCATTCTCCTGCAATTGTTCATTTCCATATCTTAATCTCTTTGCTTTTTCAGGGATCGGTTATGCTACGCAGGTGATTGAAGCTCATCTTAACGTGTACTATGTAGTAATCCTCGCCTGGGCCATCTTCTACCTCTTCAACTGCTTCACCACCGAGCTGCCGTGGGCAACCTGTGGGCACTACTGGAATACAGGTAGGAAGAGTCAATGGTGGATATGAGAGGAAATCATTTGCATTTTTGTTTTCTGCAGGACTCAATGAAAAGTAACAACCATGTGTATTTACAGATAACTGTGTCGACTACTATGGAGATAATTCCACCAACATTACAAACCTAAATGCAACCTCACCAGTCATTGAGTTCTGGGAGTGAGTAACTTTTTTTCATCTTCATTAGTCTTTATATGAGTTTTCACGCTCTGTGTGATTGCGAAATCCCATTGGAGGGCCCTACTGTTATGATGGCTTTCATCTCTGTTGGTATAAAGAGTCAATGGTATCAGAGTTTGTATAAAAACACTACAAGGAGGAATGTTTTTTCTGTTCAGGCAGTATCTCCTTCAGTGTACTATAAGGTGGAGAATTGGAGCCTCTGATGGCGCCTGTCTAACACAGTCTAACACAGCCCACCCGCCCCCCACCCCTCTCTAACATTTCCCCCAATAATTAGTCGACCCTTTTCATATCTGTGTGTCAACGGGCCCTGGTAGAGCAGCTGTCTCCCAGCTAGAGCCATGTGTGTGGCAGCGGATCAGGCCCTTTCAGCGTGTGATGCTGACCACACTTCCTGTCCCGCTGCCATTGGCTGTGTTTGCACTGCAGCTTCAAATCAAATGAAAGTAATGTAAATGGAAGTCTGACAGTTACAGTTAGAAAACGATATATATATTGTCTGAATCAAAATTAAATGAGATGATTTGTTTAACAGGAATGAAAACCTCTTTTAACCGTGGTCATAAACGTAACCCGAAGAAAATGGCCAAAAAGAGACCCACCATGTTGCTGGCAATAATACAAACGGACCAGGCTTTGTTTAATTCATGCCAAGGCGCAGTGTCATGTTTTGTTCTGTATACATGCAGCATAAACAGCAGAGGAGTAAGCTGTATTTTTATTTTAGCATCTGTATGAATGTTTACGTTCGTGCTCCGACATCGTCTGAGCAGTTTTAAAACAAGAATATTATTTCATGCGATGTGATCAATTTTGTGTGTGCGATAATTGATTCAGTTAGTCAGTAAAATAGGGCAATATCTGGAGAAATGATTTGGAATGAATGAAAAAAAATAGAAGAAATATTTGATTTGTTTCTTTGGTAAAATCTTCCGAACATGACTCAGTCTCTTTATGACTATGAGAGCTTGTCTGTAGTTTCAGCCATATCAAAAAGATATTTGGATGTCAACAAAGAAACACCTACTCTGCTATAATCACACACACACAGTACGCACACACGTTGCCTCACAAACACCTGATTTGCATACGGTTTAGATCCCACAAAAGGATATCGACAGACATTAGTGTCCACATATTGCCCTCTCGGCTGACAGGAGGGGTTGTGTTGGATGCAGCCTGTGGCCGGCCACCAAGTACATGTCACGATGATCAATGGCTGGTGTGGAACTCGCCACGTCGCCCTCACTTCTCATCCACCATCAAAGCCTTTGCCTCGCTTTGCTTCAGCAAACAGGAAACGCACTGTTCATTCAGCACCGCTGACAAGATGATGTCATAATTGCTGACTTGCTTGGTATATGGCTGCACATTTGTATTTGTAATGTAGTATATCTACAATATAGGATTACAGTAACACACTGCAAGGATTCTATTGGCTTGATGACTCCTAAGCAGCATGCTGAAACTACCCATTTCAAAATGTACTTTGAGACATCTGCTGACTCCACAGTGCAGTACACATTTTCAAGTTAGCAAATGAATGGCACAGAGCACAAGCTGACAGCGGCATGATACGTCAGGACTAAATTATAAATCACCTGTGCGCTTTTTGTGCCAAATCAGACGCAGAGTACTGAAGATTTCAGATGGTATTGAGCACATGGGGGGAATGCGCTGGGAGCTCGCCATGTGTCTGGCTCTGGCCTGGTTCATCTGCTACTTCTGCATCTGGAAGGGACCCAAGTCAACTGGCAAGGTGAGACTGAGTATTGTATGTTTACTAGTGTGTGAGTATGTGGAAGTCTATGCGGGAACCGCAAGCACCACATGTAAGTAAGTAGAGATATTTCTACACGCCAAACAGGAGGACATGTGTAATGCTGTTGTCGCATTGTCCAACTTATGATAGAATAATTTTATTAGAATGTATATCAATGTGCAAGAACAATACCATCACAAGAGGCCGTAGTATCCGGGTTTGGGTCGACGGGTAATTTGGTTTAAAGAGGCATTCCGGATTCCTTCTCCTTTGAAACTCTGAGGTGTTACAAGGTCAGATGAGATATTCAATCCCTCCAGCGTATTCTGGGTCGACTCCGGCCCCTCTTAGGACGTACTGATCAGAAGCCCAAACCACCTCAGCTGGCACCATTTGCAGCAAAGGAGCAGTGGCTCTACTCTGAGTTCCCTACGGATGTCTGAGCTCCTCACTCTCTGTCTCTCTTAAGGCTGCGTCCACCCTCCACACAAACCAAAGTCATTTCATCTCATTCACTCCTTCTCATGACCATAGATGAGTTTCAGAACGCCGATGGACAGGTAAATTGAGAGTTTTCACCACAAGGTGGGGTACAACGGCCACAGCAATGCTGACACCCTGCACAAAACCACCTGTACATCTCCCACGTTTTACACTCAACTGTGATCAAGACCTTAACTCCATAACTCCCAAGCCAGAGGGTGCAATCCATCGTTTTACAGCCAGCAACCAAGGCCTAAGGCTTGGATGTCTAATGGAGCCAACAGAACCACATCATCTGCTGAGGGCGGGGAGGCAGTTCTGACGTCCCCAAACGGGACGCCCTGCTTCCTCATGCTGCTCTTCAAATCCTGGCGGTGAACAACACACAACAGGATCGGCGACAAGGCACAACACTGTTGACTGGAAGCATGTTTAACCTTGTGCAGACTACTGACCCAGCACTAACTTTTGGATCTTTGGTGCGTCCCTCACACCCATCCCCACTGTAATGTCCTTTGAATCTCTTTTAGCAGCTTTGAGGACCTTGCAACTTGCTCTGTGTCCCCAGCTCTACTAAAGAAACCCCTCTAAGATTCAGTGACAATGAGCAAAGAGCTAGAGATGGAGTGGAAATAAATGGATTCACATTTTACATGACGGGGGGGGTGAGACAACCGAGGAGCAGCAAGCGGCTGCATCTCCCTGAAGTGTCTCTTGTCTAGCTGTGAAGCAAGAGGGGAGAAGGCTTCCTCATGGCTGGGCTTTAGCGGCCGATCCAAGATTGATTCCTGTATTCACTGGAGGAAAGGAGGGCGTTCATGAGGGGCATGCAGAATAAACCTTCAGCCTCCGCCTCCGCTGGCTCTCTCTCTCTCTCCTGCTATGAGAAATAAACCACAGCAACCCATTACAAGAGCGAGAAGTGCTTTCTTCTCCACAGACCCTACGGCTCATTCAGTTCCGACTCTGCTAAGCTGTTCGCTTTTGTCTTTGCCAGCCATTCTCGTATTTAAGCCCTCCTGTTAGATTTACTGCAAGGCAGGGGCAAGTTTGACCAGTAAATTTGTGGTGTTTTCAATGTTTACCCGTGGTGAGCTGGACGGGGCATGTGGAGCACCAAAAATGCATGAAGAGATTGAATATTCTGAATATCCTTTCATCGCCAGAGAGATGGAGAGAGAGGACAAAAAGGTTTAGGATTCTTGATTGTTTTATTTTACAAATTAAAGCAAGGATTTTGTGGGCAGGAGACAACTTTCCCACACTTCTCCCTGTTGGATACGCTAAGATTAACAAAGCTTACAGTGGAAAGCCTGATTGAATCTTGTGGCTCCTTACTTTTCATTTCTAAACTTTTTCTTCAGGCTTTTAAGGTGACAAATTTTAAAGGTATTCAAAAAAGCCAGAGGTTATCAATCTCTGAATGCTGGAGGGCAAAAAAAAGATTTAACTAGCATTCAACAAACGTCATACCTTTCCTCACTATAAAGGTCAGATGAATTGAAAGGTGGATTAAAGAAACACAATGCCTCAAATGCTTCAAATCCAAATGCTACTTGCAGTCATAATGTGACCGGGGTTGTACGAGCGATTGGAGTGTGCACGAGTCTATGGGTGTGTGAATGGTCCACTTTATCTTCGTCTATAGTATGCGCACACTCATTTCGGTGTTGTGAATGAAGTTGTGTGTGTGTGTGTGTGTGTGTGTGTGTGTGTGTGTGTGTGTGTGTGTGTGTGTGTGTACTTATGCACTTCTGTACGTGCTTCAAAGAAAAACACATTTTCCCACACTGCCAGCATCACTCTTCTGGGCTTCTCCTGTTTAAGAGACAGGGCCAGAGGATCCTTCTTTGCTTTTCAGTCTCCTGGCCTGGCTCTGTTCTGTCCTGTTCTCTGCCCTCAATTGGACTTTGACTGAATGCCAGCAAGCCAGGGGATGTATGTGGCCCGCCCCTGCCTTCCAAGAGGCCACGGTCTTTGTTCAAGGAGTTTCTAAGAGTCTTGAGCTGTTGAGCGCAAATCTGGAAAAAAAAAGGAAGGGTTGGTTTTATGGTTAGCTACTGTACCGTACTGAATTCACCATAGTGGAGTTGACTGTTTACAAAGCATATGTACTGTGTATGGTAGCAAAACATGGCCATGTTGGTTAGAGCTCAATATTAATCAGTATTATCAATATTAACCATTTTTTTGCTTGGTACGGCATCACTCACACTTGACTGTACATCAATTAATGCTCGCAATCTGCTTATGTGTACTTGCAGGTTGTGTATGTGACAGCCACATTTCCTTATGCCATGTTGCTGGTCCTGCTGATCAGAGGAGTGACGCTGCCAGGAGCATACGAAGGCATCAAGTTCTACCTCTACCCGGACATGTCACGTCTCTCCGACCCTCAGGTAGGCTTATATCCAACGTAATGTGAAATGTTCAAAATGTAACCTCACATAACAAAAATGTGTTTTAAACACTATTTGGCTGCAGGCGGTACATGGGTCAGAAGGGATGTCAAGTCTACAATTCCATGGATGTAGTTCTATTGGAAATGGAAATGACATGAAAAGAGGGATCTTATCATATTAGATAAAACAGAGTGAACCATGTGTTTGCAACATTTGACACTGTAGAACTCAAACCTTATATAAGTCATCATAAATAGTGTACATCTTTTAAACTTTTAAATACTCTGGATAATTTATATTCTTCCCATGTACCCTCAACTTACATTTCTGCTATAGTCTAATTACAATCTACACTTATCCCTATTTATTAACTAAATTTGATCAAATACATGTTACAGAGTAGACAACACAGCTGCTTGTCTGGCTATAATGGGCTGAATGAAACTGTTCAAATAGCAAATGGTAACTGTGGCATGGATACTACTGTGGCATACAGTAATATAGAGTGTAAAGACACTTCCTGCTGGTGGTGAAATGATCAACGGTCCATTAAATAATGAGTTTTCAGTGCCTGGAGGAGTGGAGAGTTCAGAATTTGAGGTTAATAGAGTCTGGAAAAGGCAGACCTCTCGGGTCGCTAGGCAACAGAAATTATCCGTGGATGCGGTGTCATGACAACGTGAATCGAGATTGCGGTAGAATTTGAGTGAGAAAGACAGAAAGTAAGCTAGAGATGAACGGATGCATGGATAGAGGCTTGAGCGCTCATTGAACCTTTCCTCAAGTTCAATGTTGACGTGATGTGCACGGTGAAAAGAGCAATATCTGAGATTTAACACGAGAGCCAAGGAAGGCACAACACGAGTTGATTACTGGCAGTGATGTAAACTGATATTTTTAGTATGCACAGCTTTCTTTTAATGCTTGCAAAAGAGGTACCTCTCTTGCAGCTTGTACATTTGACTACATATCCAATTTTATTGAGATAAAATAGCACAATCCTTTATTGATCCAAGGGGAGTAGAGACATTTTCTTGAAATTCCAGCAGCAGAGTGGATAGTGCAAACAAACAACCAAGATGCCAAAGTAGAAAAACAAGTATAATGAAAAAACGGTAAACATATAATAAAAGGGTTAACAAACAACAAAAACTAGAATATGAAATCCGACTGACTGATGTCATGTTATTCTGATTATTCACAATGTATCATATTTGATCACTTCTTCCTGTTCAGACCTCAGAATCCTTTCTGAACACCTGTTTTAAACTCCATGGTTTTAGACACCATACATGTTATAATAAGGACACACAATGGCCTCTAAAATGTCTTCAAAGTGAGTCTATCTAACTGTACCGACAGAGAAGCAAGACTGGGCAAAGCTGCTCCTTGTGGTGATATGAGGTGTTAAAAACATCAAGTCCTTGCTTTGGAAGATATAATACAGTATTTTAAGACTAAAACATTAACTCTAGATAAACTGCCTGTTACCATTACATACTTCATTTTAGCCATGGATCTGCAATACAAAGATGTGAGCCCATATAACGATACTGTTTTTTAAAAATATGTCCTGATTGTTGCATCTGGGAATTCTGTTAAGTTAGCAGGATAGTGAAGGAGAAGAGACATGATGGATCGACGAACAAAGACACAAACAGAGGCACAGAGAGAGTGAAGTCGGGTGATAAAGGAGTGCTGCTGTTTGGCAGAGGAAGACATTACTTGTGACACCGATGTTAAATTAGCTTCCTCGGGGACAATCGGAGCTCTGTTCTGTGCAGTGTGTGTGTGGCTGTGTGACACCCGCTCTTTTCACACCCCTGAACTCCATCATTGCATCATCCGTTTTCTCTTACCCCCTATACATTATCCCCCCCCCCCCCCCGCACCATGCCCCCTTTCCATGTCCTATAACCAAAACTCTACTGTCTGTGTCTTTGCAGCCTCTCACTAGTCAAACATTCCTTCCACTTTTCATTTCCCTCTTTATTCCCAGCATCAGAACTCTTTTCTTAATACATAAAAACAGCCCGGCATGTAATTGTGTGTGTTACCCGTCACTATAAAAAGAACTCTTGTAAAACACCTGTAAAATCATAACTTAAGTTCCCAGTTACATTTGATTCGTCCCATGAGTTCACATTTTAAGGGTAGGAATCTGATGTGTTTTGCTTTTTGATACTTTACTGGGAGGTTTTCACGATACATAATGATGTAAAGTACAGTTTGACCATCTTCAACCTGAATCTGCATTGAACAAGTAGGCATACGAGCAATTAAGTTGCAGAACAAAACATAAAACTTTTCATCAGAAGAACATACAATGTAATCTAACGTGGAGATTATTTGAAACAAATGAAATGATGTTTATTCTGTGAGTCCGAGGTAAATTGGCAATTGAATTACAAGCAATTCATTCTAGCCAAGCATCTTCCCGCACATAAAATGAAACTACTAATGTACTGGAGGGATTTATCAACAGTGCTACATTTACATCCAGCTTTTACACAGTAGAAAAGTATTGTGGAGCCACAACATAACAACATAACTAAACACAGGCCAGCCAAATTAGGCACAACATCAACAAGGGATTCTCTCTGCGCCTGGGCCTTTAAGGTTTCCCTGCACTGTGCGCCCATCAGCCCAGCGTGAACCAAAGGGAACATTAATGAACATTAGGAGAGAAAGGCCTGTTCTACCACAGGAACAGTCCTGTGTTTGTGAGGTCACAGAAGTTACCGTGGTTACTCCCAGGAGGGAGCAGAGACCGTGCGTTTGTTAATTGTTTCTCGGTGGGGAAATGAGATTAGTGGCTGAATGGTGATGTGAGAGAGTTTTCAAAGAACCACGCCGCATTAAGTTTGAATTCACTTGCACACCGCGCTATACTGTGGGTTCTAAGGTCCTCTGCTGAACTACAAACTAGTTTAATAATTCTTATTTTACTGCTTCACTGTCCCAGCAAAGAACCACGATACTTTGACCCACGTCCGCATTACACCTAACCACATAAATGGGAAGGATGAAGAAAATGTTTCCCTTCAACCTAGTACATACCGGACTAAGCTGCAACCCTAAAGAGGATTAAACTGATGGACCAAGTTATGAGTTAATTGTTTTTAATAATCCTGTTATGCAGAAATGAACTCAGCGGCATCTCAATGTAGCAGCTGACAAAATACTATATCCATTGTAACTGCAAAAGTAAAAGAGTTGCTGACAGCAAGGCACTGCGCCCTGCTCTCCCAACTCAGCCTGTGACAGAAATCCTAAGATATTTATCAGGATATCAAAGTGTAAAGAAATGGCACAAAATAAGATTTAGGCCCCAGAAGACTTTGTATCTACTTTAAGGGTGTTAAGCTATGATTCTTGCTGCTCCACTGGGTGCATAGAGGGCAAAGAAATAGGTTGAGCTGAGCCATAATTCCATTACAAAGTCACTGAGATGCTTTAATTAAATAGATAAGGAATAACAAAAGAATGTGTTTGTTACAGGATATAAGAATCACCTCTTGAAATATCATGGAAATCTCTGTTTTATTTAATAAATAAAACATGTGTATTGTCAGTGGAAATACTCTGAGAAGCATAAACCGTGGATGGTTTGAGTGGAACTTTAACCCATAACTGCAAAACAAGTAAACGTAGGATTTACCTAATGTCCTGTATGTTTATTACCACTTCTCCTTCAGGTGTGGGTGGATGCTGGAACCCAAATCTTCTTCTCCTATGCCATCTGCTTGGGCTGTCTCACTGCTTTGGGAAGTTACAATTCCTACAACAATAACTGCTACAGGTAAGACTATAACAATACGGGCGAGGCCCCACTTTTAAAAGTAAGATTTACAAAGGGGAATGGATTGCCCCGCGCTGTATCATTTCAGTTTCCATTCATCACACAGCAGTTCCACTCAAGAGAGCGTGTAAGACATCAATTTAGTGGGTAAGATAGTGCTTACAGCTTAAGTGTGATCTCGTCTCTCTCTGTCTGTCTCGCTCCTCAGGGACTGCCTCATGCTGTGTTGTCTTAATAGCGGCACCAGCTTCGTAGCAGGTTTCGCTATATTTTCTGTGCTGGGCTTCATGGCCTTGGAACAAAATGTTCCCATCGAGGCTGTAGCAGAATCGGGTGAGAATAACGTAATAATCATGTTTCTTCATCGAGTAAGTCCGACAACTGTAACGTGGCCCTATGTACTGCATATTGTACACCACAGAGAGTCTGTCTGAATACTCGCATTGTGATCAAATTGACAAACACAACCAGTTATAAAACGGCACCCCCTTTTCACCTAAGCTCTTACACCACTGCATTATGATTTATTCAAGTATATTGAAATATGTATAAGTGGCCTCCTGTGAGGAAAACAGTTTAAAAACTTTAGACATTGTCAGATAGACGGCTACAAGTCCAAAGATCCACTGATTTCATTAGATATAAAAAAAATGTTAGCAAAGGTTAAATAGGATGTAACAAAAAAGCGAAAGGCTTTACAACCAATCTGTGGTTATTACTATTAGGCTATTTATCTTGTCTTGATTTCAAACTCACCTGCTTAAATAAGACTGCTGCTTTTTGTGATACAGGTCCTGGTCTTGCATTCATCGCATACCCTAAGGCTGTCACTATGATGCCCCTGTCTCCACTTTGGGCATGTCTCTTCTTTATGATGCTCATCTTCCTCGGTTTGGACAGTCAGGTAAACCAGTAGAGCCGATGATGTGCACATAATTCTGTTCAGTTGTTGAATACTAAGCCATTATTGAATATTGAGTTGTCTGTATTTCTCCATAGAACTGTTCTGTCATCTAATGTATAACTAATGCATCGACTCAACAATGTTTAAACTGGAACCGTGATCTGATCTCTTTTGTTTTGCAGTTTGTTTGTGTGGAGAGTTTAGTGACAGCTGTGGTGGACATGTACCCAGAGACCTTTAGGAGAGGCTACCGCAGAGAGCTGCTGATTCTGGGCATGTCTATATTCTCCTTCTTCGTAGGACTCATCATGTGTATGGAGGTAGGACTCAGTTCTGTTTACAGCTTTAGCATTTACGGTAACAAATGTCAGCATGTATTGCTTTTCTTACTGCTAGAACGCCCTTTAATGCATGTACATGCCACCAGGTGTGTGGCAAGAGATAGAGCAACACTTTTCCTTTAGGATTGCTTTATGCCTTAATACAGCTGCAGGATTATAGGGGGTGACACTGGTCAACATTTGATGCAGGGCTGGTGTCCAGGACTCAATCTACACGGGGAAAACCATAGAATATGGATCGACCAGAATATCTTGTTTGATGAAAACATGTTGGAAATAATTGCAAATTCATCAATAGATTCTGATGAGTGGACTTAACAATGCTCTGGAGTTATTGGCAGTATTACACGAGTCATAGAATCTACAAACAAATCTTTATCGGCAACTGCGCAAAAATAATGTGTTAAAACAGAATGATGCACAAAAACAGGTGTACAGCATTTAAATGTTGATTTAGAACTTGAATGTGAACAATTTGCATATTTGTATGAGATGAGAAGAGGACATATTATACGCACTAAGCGACAAACAGTGTGTTTCTTTGTACGTTTTAGAGCTGCTGTGTTTTTAGCCTGAAATATGCATGATCAAATATAATGCAGTGTTTTATAACAAACAAAAAAGGTATATATAAGGTCTGTATACTGCGTCAAAATGTTGTGTCACTTGGACATCGGCCTCTACAAGCAATTTAAGAATCATTTCAAAGCAATTCTGGTGCATAGACAGTGTCTGTGACAGAAAACTGACACCTGTCTCGTCCCATCAGGGAGGAATGTACGTCTTCCAGCTGTTTGACGCGTACGCCGCCAGCGGGATGTGTTTGCTGTTTGTGGCCATATTTGAGTCCATATGTATCGGCTGGGTGTACGGTAAGATAACAAGTTCAAATGTAACTAGAGATCTCTAACCAATTTGTTTCTTATTTGTCCATATTCATATTAATTCTCTGTCACACATTTCAGCACAGAGAAAGGCGATTGCTTGAACATTGCATGAGGCTTTTACCCTCTTTGCTGAAATAATATTTATTCTCTGCCCTCTGCTGGAGAATGCTCACACACACAAGTTATTTTTTTATGGCATTTCGGCATTATTAAAATAATTAATACAGAATCTGTCTGTCTCTCCTCAAACAAAGGTTTCAAGCTAAATATCTATTCAGCAGCTTTGTTTATCTGGCCATACATGTCATCGTTATTTTGATGCTACGTACATGCAGATAATCTGAGTGACAAGTATTTACATTTCAGGCAGTGACAGATTCTACCTAAATATTGAGGATATGATTGGCTACAAACCTGTCTACTTCATCAAGTGGTGCTGGATGATCCTGACCCCGGGCATCTGTGCTGTGAGTCCGACCGCAACATCAAGCACATCAAGCGTGTCGCATCGACTACGTATCATGTGGACGAGCTGAATAGTGATCAAGGACCGACCAATTCAGAGGAGGCTCCCTATGATCTTTTAGATGGATCCAGGGTTTCAAATTAATAGCACTATTTATTTATGGAATGCAATTGTTGAATTTGTTATAAGAAACTAATGCGTTCAACATATAAGATTCCATCCTCTGACTGCTTCCAAATCCGCAAAACCGTAATATTTGTGGATTCGTGTTTTAAATATTTCTTGAAATAAATAAATGCATTTGTTTCTCACAATGAGAAAACCCCCTTTTACAAATAAAATTACAATTTCAACTTTTGCAGGCAATTTTCCTGTTCTTCCTGATTAAATACAAGCCGCTGAAATACAACAACGTGTACACCTACCCTGACTGGGGCTACGGGATTGGCTGGTTCATGGCCATGTCCTCGATGGTCTGCATCCCTGTGGGGATGATCTGGATGATCTGCAAGACTCCCGGGACCTTCTCTGAGGTACAAACACAAACATGTTTCCAAAATGTTCAAGTAAAACAGAAATGCTTAACACTGACTAACAATGATTTTATGTAGCTTTAACTATAATGCCGTTGTCAAATAAACTTCAATACTTTAGCAGACCAGTAATTAAAGGTCAATATATTATCTTTTACTGTCCTGTATGTAGACAGTGATCATTCAGTAGTTAGTAGGTTAACTGGCTGGTCAACTTGACATTTTGAAAGTGGAAGACACACTTTGTTTGTCACACAAGTGAATCGTTGGCACAGACTTTAATACCTTAATGTAAGTTAACTTAGGTAACTAACTTAAGTATTGTTTGTGGATGCATTTTTTATGTGTTTAAAGAGCATGACTAAATGCATTGCATGTATTAGCTTAGCATTGTTATGGTTAAGGATATCAGTGGAAGGAAAACATTGTTTCTCTCTCTCGATGCTTTCTGCAGAGGATAAAAAAGTTGACGACTCCCAGCCCGGACCTGAAAATGAGAGGGAAGCTCGGCGCCCTCAGTCCTTATGCTGCCAACGATGCAAAGCCTCAGGTGGATGGAAAAATGTCCACCGTCTCAGAGAAGGAGACACATTTCTAACCAACCGCCTGACTGAGAGACCAAGCTGCCTGCCCTCCTCACAATAAGTCCAACAAAGGAAAACTACAGCAAAACACAGCCCCATTATCCCCCTCCGCACAAAACAGGAGATTAAACAAATGTTAAATAAATAAGCGTTATTTTTGTTTTGTAAAAAAAAGAAGCAAAAAGAAAGCAAAAGCTATCATTATGATTATTATTATTATTATTAGCTACATTATTCGTAGTCTGTTTCCGTTTTTCACAAACTTTAATAGAACAGTTGTTGTTTTTTCTGTTAACATTGTGAGTAAAGCAGCGTCTTTTTTTTCTAACCATTAATATTTTAAAATCAGTTTGACGACATCCACTTTAAGGTTAAAACCTGTGTTGGTACTTTGTCAGTTCTGATCACACTAGTGTCCGGAGGCCTGTAGAACGATACCAATGCACTGTGTTGCAAATGACTTACAATGTACATTTATCGGCAAAGGGCTGTGCTTCTCTATTAGGTACTAGGTACCCAAATGTGACTTTCCAAGATGTAGCAGCTTGGAGACCATTCTACATAGTTTTGTGTGTTAAAAGAATACTGCAGTGTGTGTTGGTACCGAGGGCGTACCCTGTACACCCCTGTGAGTTATAATTCAGTTGTATAAAAAGAGTTTTGCCATCAAGATGTCGGATGTTATCTGAACCGGCTGTGACTGTGAGCGTGGTTTGGCCTTCACTGATTGTTATTTACTTTAATCCAAGGTCGACATCAGCAAAAACTCTGCTTATTGGTGTAATTGAACAATACTATCTGCCTAGTCATAATCAATTCATGATCAGCAGTAAAATCTGTGAAAGCATCTTAAATTTATAAATCTATTGTTTTGAGCTACGAAGCTTCGCGAGGCCACAAACCGTGAGTGACTCGCAGGCCGAGTCTAAAAACACACGTCTCTCTAGCCGCCCTCCTGTGAGTTGTGGGTGTCTGTCATTTCACAGCAATTAAGCTGAGCCTAACGCAGAGTGACGGACCGACGGGCTTCCACCCCTGCATTTTTTATTTCTTGTTCCGCCTGTGAAAGAGAAGATGAACGTCCATCGGATGAGCGTTTCAAAACCCATCTGTCCTCTTACACTCCCCCCCCACCCCCTCTCAGTTAACTCTCTTTACCCTTCTATCCTTCCCTCTTTTCTCCCCCTTATCCTCATCTTTCATTTACTCCTTTCAGTCACTGCTCGGGCAATGATGGTACTCGCCTCGCGCCAAACATTGATGCTGCGTGTTCCATCGGAGAGTTGTGCATCTGCGGCTGTGTTGCCATTGATAGTCTTACCTGACACACACTGTGCACAAATACATGATTTCATGTTGCCGTCTAAGGAAAAGCGGGACTGAAAGAACAGTCTGTTCCTGTCCTCCATTTAATTGTGGTAAAAGTCAATGAGCTGGTCTCATTGTTCGATCCCGGTCCATTTAATCGTCATCCAATCAGCACTCGAATAAGAGTTGTCCTCATACTTCACCTCCTTGCTTCATCTGGCTTTCTCATCTCCCGTCCTTTCTTCCCGACTGTTCTTTTTGTTTCCTGATGAAAATGCAATCAGAAAAGAGCACCCCGAGGGGACGAGATTCAAATTTCTCACTTTACAGTTTTTCAGGAGGAGGAGAAGAGAGCGGGGGAAGAAATAAGGAATTGATGAGCCGAGGAAGTGTGTAATCGAGTAAGTAACGAGGGAAATTGAGGAAGTGTTTAGTGACTGAGCCCCTCCTGTCTAAGCTGTGACATCCTCTTAAACATGTGATTGGTCCCGCTGGCGTGGTTGCATTGCGACATTATTGCCTCCTCACTGATGTTTGTGTATGTTAATAGTTGTGTGCATTGGAAACGATAGCCTACTGTTTAACACTGATATCGTTGATGTATATTTTTACATCTCCTTCTAGAAATCTGTGGTCTATTTCATGACATTTCTGTATTAAAGAGAATATGACCTTTGATTTGACTTGATATGTTGCTCAAAAGATCTTGTTATAGAAATATAATGAAAGGTGTTTTACTGTTCTGTAATGTTGGTATTCACAGGACACATGAACTGTCTGCTTACTCATTTTTAAGAATAAATATTATGAAGAAAAAAATGTTGCCTCTTTTTTTTATTTAACTTAATCTCAGAGTGCAGCATCACAGTTCCGAAAGAGGAATAAAAATACTCTTAAATGCTGACACATTAAAGTAGTTTAAAAAGGTTTTCATTGCCTCTACTGTACCTTTGTAGGTAAAATGATGGGATGATGCATATTGTAAAAAAATAATCATGACACTAGGTAAAAGGTGGATGACTGAAGGAAGTATTTGAGAATTAATAACTTCTATAGCTAGTTCTTCAGCCAAGTACCTCAAATCATTTTTGGTTAAAAAAGCAGATATAATGAACATTGAAAAAACACAAAGCCTGCGGTGGGTTGCAAATCATGAACGTAAATCCAATTATAACATATTGTTCTGAATCCTGACACAATTTGGTGGCTCTGGTTCTGCCTTCGTTGGCACTCGTCCCTCCTGGTTGTCAGCTGCTACACTTCAACCACGTCTCCATTGTTTGAGCTTTCAAGGCGGGCTTAATTGAGAGGTAATGACAGTTGGCGTGTGCCAGGATGGGTCAAACCATCCCGGTATGGGGGAGACTCTGTTGCTCCATGTTTGTGTGTGTGTGTGTGTGTGTGTGTGTGTGTGTGTGTGTGCAGTCAAGCTCATATATCCAACTGTCACACTTCAGAAATCAGCTCTGCTTTCTTCGACTTGGAGATGACATCTTGATCTGATCCGGTTGATGATGAGAAGTAAATCTTCTTTTGTTGTTGTTTCACACTGCAACTGCAGGAAAAATTCTGAGCCCGAAAACGATTCTGGACTTAGCGGTCAGGCAAAACCCATTCAGAGAGAAACGCGGTTACTGAAAAGCAGGGAACATCTGACGCTTTCAAATGCTGTAAAATGTCTTATGTTTCTCTTTTTCTCTTTGAGGAGATAAGCTTTTATCTGTAACCCCTGATCTAAAACGCTTCTATTGACTGACAAGCACATACTGTATTGCTACAGTTGAGTTACCTTATTTTAGTAACAGGACCTCTTGATTGTTATCCTCCGCCGACCAGAAAAGTTACAATTAGTAACACTTTTAACATTTTATCCAAGTCGATATTTGTCTAAAATTGTTGTAATTTGCATATTCATTCTAGAGTTATGGACAAAAACGTTTTCCCTTCAAAGGGTTGTATTATTTTCCTCTTTCAATGACTGTTAGGAATGAAGACAGTTGCCAGTCCACGTGGAGAGATTAGCCAATCGTAAAATGTCATTGATCAATTTCTGGCAAAGGTGCCAAAAAACTGGCTTACAGTTACACAAACACAACATACCTTTTTTGTATTATATGTTATATGTATTATAAGTTTTATGAATCCTGTGCTCAGATCAATGAACAACATGTGTTAGCAGTTGGCTTCATACACAAAGAGCAGACACATTAGCATTTATTTGGAGTCTTGATGACGTCAAATAGCAGTTGAATCAGTGATATTAGCATGAAGAGAAACAATCAGGTGGAAGGAGAGTGAGACATGTAGTGCAGGGAAGCCATTAGGATGAAAGACACCGGATAGAACAGCAGTAAGAGAGATCATGGAGAAGGAATAACAAATTAGTCGACTCGTGTTCTGTGTTCTAGGGTTTCGCTTCAAGACAGAGCCAAGATTAAAAAAGCGCAAATCACCAAACGTGAGCCTTGCCCAAAGATTAAAGCAACCTAGATTTTCCTTCTGATAAGATGATGGTGAGCGATAAAAGAAAAAAACGTGAAGTGAAACCATAGATTTCACAGTTGATGTTATACAAAATCCTGATAAACTTGAATTAGTTATTCTGGTATTATTCTGCCTTACTGCTAATCTTTTTTAGGGGGGGGAGGCCGGGGTCATTTCTTACTACACACGGATTTTATTAAACTAGGGTTCAGGGCTTGCAAATGCTCCAGGGGTTTTGTTATTGATTTTGCGCTTTAAAAAGAAACAACTTCGAAACTAAAATCGATCAGTTTTTGTTTTTGATCTTGAGTCCTGCTGGTGTTATGAGGCAAAAGTTGTTCTTTTAATTTCAGCAGGGGGCAGCAGATTGCAAACAACCATGACTGAACAACCGTGAAGGCCAGGTGAAAATACCACAGCTAATTTGTATATATGCATATATGTATGGTGCGTGTGCTCTGCAAGTGTGTGCAATCCTGCACGTGTGCAATGCATGTTTTGCTTGTGACAAAATATTTTGTGTGGTCAAGCATCATTTGTCTCCGTCATCTTTACATTCTTCATCCTCACAGACCCCGACAGGGCATCGTGTAATGTCATATACTGACAGCCAAAGCAAATGAAATACATGGACCTTAGTGTCATCGTGGGGATGTCTTTGCACATGTGTCTTTTTGCACATGGGGCATTTCCTGCACGTATCTAGCTATAATCATGCTTATCACGATGAAGCTTTATAAGGCAAAAAAACAGAAGAAGAGCGATAGAGTGAGATGGATAGAAAGCCGATGACCAATAGCGGGAAATATGTGGTCCAACTAAAACGTGAGGAAAGAGAAGGGTAAGGAAAGCAAATGAATAGGGGAGGGACATGAGTGAGAGTAATCTGCTGTGTAATGAAAAGAGGCAACACAAATAAAATGGTCTCCTTTACCTGGTAAGAGAATGAGAGGTCTCTGAGGCGACAAACAGAACTATGAAATCGTCTGACATTACGCACAAGATTCATTTAAATAATAAATTCACCTCCAGAAGACAAATTTATTTCCAGTGACATTGCAAACATCGAAAAGCTGTTGCTGACCTACACGTCAACACCTTGGTGGCGTGAAGACAGCGCTGTACATTTAGAATCATGTGTGCGGGGGAGAGAGGTGTGAAATAGAGGGAGAGAGACTATGTCACAAGGGTAAGGATATCAAATGGCACCCGAATCGGTGCCTTCTTTGGGTTCTCAGTTCATGGGTCAAAGGAGAGGAAGCCTGAGGACACTGCAGGCGTCTTTGTTCCTCTCCATGGCCCTCACTGTCCTCTTCAGTAGGCAGCAAATGAAGTGTAAGCTGAAAAGAATCTGCATTACCGCCATCTATCTTCATCATTATCGGCATCTCTACTGAAATCGAGAACTAACCAAAGGGTCGATCCAGTGACTGGTTTTGCTAGTAAATCATTTTGGGATGTTTTCAAAATAAGAATTTGAGTATTGGTGCTATTTATCTCTTGCTTAGCTTTCTTTATATTGCATTAAGACATTTATAGGATCTGATTATGAAAATAATTGAGATTTTTCTGGTTTCCTTATTTCCTTGCTCATTCTCTGCACAACATTATTTGCTAGTCATTAAGGGTCCTCATTGTCCATTAACACCCCACCGTTTGTGTCTTTGTTGGTTCCTTGTGTTAAAGGGTAATGAGACAAATCTCTCGATTTCTTGTTTTTTCGTTTTTCATTTGAATCATACCAGTGGTGGGAGCACTGAGATAAAATGCAATCAACAGAATAAAAACAGTGTGGCATGAAGAAAATACATAGCCAATGATGATATGTATCTGTTCATGTCCATGCAGAATTGTGTGTATTGGCTAAGTGAGTCGATGAGTGGTGTGTGCCCATTGGGAGGGACGGTGTTGCATGGTTCTGCAGTAATAGGTTTTGGCAGCTGTGTAATTTCGGTTTATTTACCCCTGACCTTGGAAAACTCCTCTTCTGCTGTGCAGGTGTAATTTGTGAGATGCGAACACACAAAAACACACATGCAAACAAAACTGTTATCTGTATATGTATATATATATATATATATATATATATATATATATATATATATATATATATATATATATATATATACAGAACAAATACAAAAAAAGAGTCAAACAAGCAAAAAATGTAATGTACACAGCAACTGAATTTGCTCAACCAACACACATATTCATACATACACTCAAAACTGCAAATGCACACACCGCAGCCACCCCCACCAGCCCCCGTCTACACACATACACACACACATGCACACAGTCGGTGTTAATAGGTCACCGGCCAATGACAACGTTTCCAATTTCACTGTCAAGTAGTGTTGACTGGTTGAATGGGTCACTGGTTAGGTGGGGCAGCGGGCTCTGTGGGGCTCGAGAGAACACTGTTCATCACTGTGGGTCTGCTTTCTTAAAGTCAAGGAGCCCACATGTGACTTACGATGGAGAATGAATGTATACCTTCATTTGATCATTGAGTTTCAATTATCAGATTTTAATTCACTTTGTCTCATCCTGTCACAGCAGTGTGCCAAAGGTTACAAACATGAAGAAAACCCTGCAAACCATAGCAATCATCCTCGTTGATGTACATTACGACTTCAGAGTTTTGTTTCTGTTGGTGGATGCCGTGTTTGTGTCTTCACGGGCTTGAATGCGTTTTACATTGGGAATTGCTAGGGCTTGTTGTTGTGTTGTTTTTGAGAGGCTGCTGCGCTCGTAGCCTGTTAACACAACACGCGCACATCCGCTGAAGGAACGACTGCGGTGGTGTTGATGGGTAAAGAGACAAGACAGGGTAGAATTAGAGAGAGAGACAGAAAGGGAGAGAGAGGGAGAGAGAGAGAGAGACAGAGAGAGAGAGAGAGGGCTTTCCATCAGAAAACACCTCTGGCTATTCTAAAATAAATCTCCTCATCATGGCAGTGGCCTTTGGCCCCAGTTGTAATGGGGTAATTGAGGTCAACTGGGTAATTTGACCTTTAAAGCTTCGGCTGAAATGTTTCCTGTTAAACTGTGAAAATATGTGAAACAGTCCCTTTGAATATTCTTATCTACAGCGCCAGAAGTGTAGTAAAGTGAAGCAGCCTATTGAGTCCTTGCCGCTGAGAGCTGGCATCACGTTGAGGGTGTCAATAAAATGTTTTAGAAAACTGAAATTGATTCTCAACTGACTGCCGTGATTGTGCCCCCCTCTCCTTCTCACCTTCACGCTGAACGAGAGGTAAGTGGACTTTATCTTATCTTATCTGTAATTATTCAGACCACGCAATGGTGTTGCGTTTTGTGAGTTTACCCCG